ATATGACCATATAAACTCACTGTATAATGTCCACCTGTATACGGTTTTGCTATCTTTTTTCGTCGTTTTTTCGTATCATTTCTGCTAAATCAATAAATGTTTTCTTTGACATGCGGAAAAGTTTAGAGAATTGAAAGTTATCATAGCTACAAAGCCATGGTTCCATCATTAAAATGGTTTTGTCCGAAAAAAAAACCATTTCTCCAATTAATATTATGACAGGTTTCTTTTTTAATCTTTCCATACACTGTTATAGACGAAAATGCACCGATTATTAAGTGATAATAAAAATAATCAGAAATTATATACGCGCTTTTCTAAAATAAACAACTGGCAACAAAACCGCGGTTAAAACCAACGCGTTAAGCGATTTGAGTAACTGACGTCATCAACCCGTGTGTCATCTTAAACCATATTATAACCGCGGTACATAACAAGGAAATTTTGGTTATTCGCTTGGATTTGATTATACTTCCGTAAAAAACCTTACTGATAATAGGGTGAAGATTTGTTATCAATGTCTTCCAGTTACTTTCAGTTTGAGAGTGATTTACTCCCAAACTGCTCTAGGAATAATCATGGGAATGCAACGTGCAGTGGAACGGTAATGGTGCTAAGCACTACTGAGTACTCCAAGTAACTCAACTGGGTCACTGGAAGATAGGATAAGTACTGCGCTCCTGATTAACATCTCATGCAGACACTTCAGACAGAACAACAGCAACAAGAGGAGGCGAATATTCCGAACAACTATTTTCGTTCGTGTAATCAGACAAAAACATTATCTGCCTCGGTGATCCTAATATGGATCAGAAAACATGCAGATACTCGGAGGAACAGGAGTAATAAGATACGAGTATAAGTATAAATATGTATTTAAATAACGAATAAATATGTACAATATGAACAAATGCATCTCCACATGTTCATACAAGTCAGTCCATTTTTACAGTTGTATTTTATACATAATAGTACGTTCAGATGTGCTCTTTTGTAAGGATCATTGTTATGTGTCCATCCAAATAAATCATACAAGAGTTAAAAAAACATTTAGGCAACTTATCATTTGTGACAATGGTAGACAAAGTGCTGAAGAACCCATAAAACTAATTTTGAAAGTTTGGAGAGTCGTAGAAAACAAAACTTGATGAAACAGTGTGGTTGATACAGACGTTTCTATATATCTTTTTTAAAGGAGTATGTCGTAGTTGTAATACATCCATCCTAGTCAGACCTGGCTGAAATGATAAGCGTAAGCCTAGGCTAAATGTCCATTACAACCAAGCACTATGCTGTTGTGTCATACGACTCTCCAAAAATAAATTCTACCAGCACATATCACTTCAAACGACGTTTTGCAGAATGTATATACAAGACTGGCGCGATAGTTAATAAAATCTTGATTATCCATAGCCGAATGTCACAAGATCAATGTTTACTGTGGTCTGTGCCATCAGTATTTACTGATGATTCCAATAGTGTCAGTAGATTTCTACGTAGTCTTACAGTTCAATAACTTAGACGTCCATGCCAAACGTTCCATAAATATCACATTTCATGATGAATCACACTAAATACTGAGCGTGTGATATTTGCCATATAAATGTACAAATATCCAATATGAGTGATCCAAAAAGCAATGGCAACAGCAGAAAGTATAAATATGCAGACAATATCAACGAGTTATCGTTGCGCGAGTCGTTAGAATACACAGTCGAGCAAGTGTTACTTTAGGTCCAACAAAAATTAACATTTTTCATTATCTCTAAATTAATTTTAGGATCAATTTAAAACTCCCGAATACTAGTTAACATTGCCAAGCCACCTCTCAAAATGACGCACTTCTTGGCCTTTGCTCTCCCTCCTTCCTTCCTTCCTTTATTCTTCCCTTCTTTCTCGGTAACTTTGTATGGCATCTGGGCAACCAGATGACGTCCTGCGGAACGATCTGACAGATAATGACGAATAGAAGGGATCTACTTTTTGCCTTAGAAATGCCCGATACAGATTGTCCGACAGATAAAAATATCATCCGTATCTGTACTATCATCGAAAATGCAATAGTGAAACAAAGATTTGATCCGCGGAAAATTCTGGAACGCAGTACAAAGCGAGGAGCAAACCGACAAGTCTGGTGGGATCACAAATATGGGGCAAGAAAGACATATTGTATGGCACGTCGTATACTCGAGCGTTCCACAAAGGATGCGGTTATAATTTCAGTGACATTTTTTGTGCATTCAGTTTATCAACTGAATCTTACGAATGCAAACCGTTTGAAAATCATTGCTAAACTACGGGTGCAAACTGTAATAGCAAAGTTCGGTTTTACACTCAGACAGAGGACAATCAAGATTCTAATGACCTAAAATAATTAGCACAATTTCATGATAGCTTCAAGACGGATCCTGTGATTGAATAATGGCGATTGAAGTTAACGAGCGTGATGTATATAGACGAAAATACCCATTGTTTTGCGAAATAATTGTAAAGTCTGGTTTTATTGCAGCAATTTGTTCAAGGGGGTATTAAAAACAAGGACGCATAAAATCGGTACATCAATTTTTGTGGGAAAACTTTTTATTCTACAAAAAAGAATGAGAAAACGTGTTTCTTGGGATTCAATCGAAAGTGTTGGCAGGAATGGCAAAACTTTTCCATATGAGATGTTCAGGTATTTATGAGACCACACGTAAAAAGATCCGACTAATAGCAAAAATGTTATAGCCGAAAACCGAGGCAAACTGCAGGTTTTGGCACTTGGTAATGCAACAATGGTTTCTCGCAAATACTTGAAATTCTTCAAATCCGTAGGATTCGTACTCGTAAATAACCACAACAAAACTGGAGTAAATTGATCAAGTAGTTTTTGAGAATTTCAAATTGTTTATCCCAAAAAAACACCTGTTTTCCGGTCATCACTACTAGTTTATAGAGCAATATACAGGGTTAGTTCAAAGTGCATTTTACAGCTAAATACACTAGTTTACCTTGCCGATATGAATCACAAACCATTCCGGGAAGATAAATGTTATTTTTATGCAAAAAAGGATGGGTTACGTTTTTTCTTCTAAACAAATTCAAACATTTCGTATTTGTGAGTAATTCGCAACAAAAGATGATAGACACATCCGCTTTGTTTTAAAAACGTTTAGTAACGTATGTTTTTCGAATATCGTAGCGCATTTGTTTTGAAGAAAAAAACGTAACCGTTGCTTTTCGCATAAAAATAACATTTATCGTTCGAAATATACTCCAATTTTGTTGTTGTTATTCAGAAGTATGAATCCTACGGATTTAAAGAATTTCAAGTAGTTGCGCGAAATTATCGTCGCATTACCAAGTGCCAAAACCGGCATTGTGCCTCGTTTTTCGGCCATAACATTTTAGGTTTTCAAATAAAAAACCGATTCCCTGTTTCTCTTTAAAATACAAATATCTTCAGTTTTTGAAATCATATACAGGGTGTCCCAGAAGTCGACGTCAAGCCGAAACCGGGTGATAGGCAAAGTCATAACAGCTATCAGAAAAATATTTAAAAAAATTTTATGTATGTGTTTTGAAAATTATAGTTATTTGAAAAAGATATAGAAATTTCACACCCTACGGCAGTCTGTCATCTCCTGTTACTACAAATATTAACTTTTTTTGGATTTCATTTTTACAATGTAATGATGAATAATGCATCTTCAAACTGGTGTCTCAACCTTACTGCCAACTTTTCTCGTTCAGGAAAAATTGCCACTTATTTCCCAACCAAGTATTCCAAAGTAAAACTTTGCTCAACTTTAACTGGCTGTACTGGAAAAAAATGTACTACGACAGTTTGGCAAGTAACCTTAAAAGTTGGCGCATTTAATAACGATTCCAAAATGGTATAACACTTAGAAGATTACTCGTTAACTTATGCACAATTTTTATTTGAAAAAAAACATGAAAATTTTTCAAAATTTCCTAATTAAACAGCGATTATGAAAACGCACAAGGACCCTTAAGGATAACTGTTTGCACAACAGTGGGCGTCAAAATGCTGCTGATGATAATTTACCTTTACAGCAAATGCTCAAACTGTTTTCCTTCAGCCGCAATACACGCTCGACACCTTCTTAAAAAAGATCGGGTTATTAAACGAGCGAATCCACGGTTATTAACAAACTCAGCTGCTTCCAATAGTCTTTGCCGTAGCTCAGCTACATTTTGAATCGGCTTGAAATACACTTTTTCTTTTACAGTTACCCAGTAAAAAAAATCTAACGTTTTTTGCAAAATCATTTAGAAAATTTATTGGAGGACGTGCCACTGAGTATTTACAGAGACATGTGGTTTCAGCATGATGGCTGCCCAGCGCACTATGCACTCTCATTGAGAGAGTATCTCGATCAAAACTTTCCAGGCAGATGGATAAGGCGGTCTGGTACAATACCGTGGCCAGCCCGATCACCTGATTTGAATCCTTTAGATTCTTTTTTCTGGGGAACTGTAAAAGAAAAAGTGTATTTCAAGCCGATTCAAAATATAGCTGAGCTACGGCAAAGACTATTGGAAGCAGCTGAGTTTGTTAATACCCGTGGATTCGCTCGTTTAATAACCCGATCTTTTTTAAGAAGATGTCGAGCGTGTATTGCGGCTGAAGGAAAACAGTTTGAGCATTTGCTGTAAAGGTAAATCATCATCAGCAGCATTTTGACGCCCACTGTTGTGCAGTTATCCTTAAGGGTCCTTGTGCGTTTTCATAATCGCTGTTTAATTCGGAAATTTTGAAAAATTTTCATCAGTTTTTCTTCAAATAAAAATTGTGCATAAGTTAACGAGTAATCTTCTAAGTGTTATACCATTTTGGAATCGTTATTTAATGCGCCAACTTTTAAGGTTACTTGCCAAACTCTCGTAGTACATTTTTTTCCAGTACAGCCAGTTAAAGTTGAGCAAAGTTTTACTTTGGAATACTTGGTTGGGAAATAAGTGGAAATTTTTCCTGAACGAGAAAAGTTGGCAGTAAGGTTGAGACACCAGTTTGAAGATGCATTATTCATCATTACATTGTAAAAATAAAGCCAAAAAAAGTTAATATTTGTAGTAACAGGAGTTGTCAGACTGCCGTAGGGTGTGAAATTTCTATATTTTTTTCAAAGACCTATAATTTTCAAAACACATACATAAATTTTTTTTAAATATTTTTCTGATAGCTGTTATGACTTTGCCTATCACCCGGTTTCGGCTTGACGTCGACTTCTGGGACACCCTGTATGTATGATTGATATGGGGCATACAACTACACATAATTCATTTTTTAGATTTATTTTTAGTTCCAGCACTTTTTCGGTAAAAATCTAGAAATATCTGAATTGTTTTAAAAAATCGTGTAAATAACGTTTTCGCTATTTCGGTAAATAAGGTTCCATTTTGGTAGTAATACCGAAAAACGGTAGGTTCGGCAACACTCAACGGAAGACTGTACTGACAAGTGACTGCAAGTTTTTTGAAAAAATGCGTCGGTCTGCAGAACAAACGCGATGGGGTGCAACGCTTTTACATTTTTCTTCCATCGGACCCGAGTGGACTGAGAAGTCGGATTCGGTCGGACCTCAGAACTCGTTCAATCGGACTCAAAAGAAAAGTTATCGTTAACAACTACAAAATCCACTACAACAATAACAGAATTGATGATCACAGTCGCTGACGAAAAACTTCAAGCTCCAAATCACTCAATCTTGATGCGCTCAAGAAAATGCCGCCTTACGCCGCGTTTGATTTTTATGCGAGTTGAATTTTACTATATCACTTACAGAGCTAATAAAAGCGATTGTATCAGATACTAATCGTTCCTGATGAGACTAAACTGAAAATTGTTTAGCTTGATTAGTCTGCGCACAGCCTCACACTAGTATTTACACCTATCTAGTTAAAGTGGAATTTGAACTGGAACGGACTCCCATGGAAAGTTTGGAAGTGCTGGAAGTTCGGCATGTTGCTACCGTGCTTGCCAGATTCTGGATCCAGCGGGTCTTCGCCTTGGTCGAACTGCCGCCTTTTCTCTTCGTCTGTCAGAACCTGGAATAAAAATGTTGTATTTTAGTTCATAAAAATGATGTAAGTAGGGGAATTACCGCGCGGTGTTCACTTGTCTAAATTTCCTCTATCAGTGTATTGTTTCATTTGGATACTATAGCGAGTAGACGTATTGTAAGCATAGTAAAGCAAGTTAACATTTGTGTTACCATTGATTCCATTAGCCAAAGTTTAATGTTTAAATAAGATGTCGTTTCACATAGACAAATCCAAGTTATACCAAAAATTTGTTTGAAACTTTTAAAAAAATCTAATACAAGTACGAAAGTACAAAATGTACAAAAGTTAGTTAACGAAGTGTGACGAAATTACAAATTACAAGCAAAATCCGACAAGGAACTAGATATTATTGTATCTACGGGAATCGAAGAATTGCAAGCGGCGACTAAGAAAAAATCAAATCTACTAAATTTTTTTTCTAAGGTGAGTGACGAAATCATTTTAGGTACCTATAAGTAATAGAAATATTAGAAATCGCCAAAAAGTGTCTCTTTACTGATTAGAAAATATTATGGCCCATCTCAAAGTATAGAGGTAATATTCATTATATTACAGATTTATTTCTTATGAATGACTCCGTCAATTGAGGAGCAGACTTGCAAAATGCATTTTGTCCAAATTTTCCATATTTGAGATACAGGTGGCGCTGCATTCCTATGATGAAATACTATCTTTTTTTAAACATTTGAACAGTCAAAATGTATTTAGTCCCCGTGTTATTGAGGGGAAAATTATACCTAGACAAACAAACTGATTTAAGTCCACTCACATGGTACTTTCAAAGTGCATTTTGTCCATAAACGTTGACAAAATGCATTTTGATGGGGTTTTTGTTTATTTTATCAGAATCTGTTGTTATAGTTCGGTGTTACCTTGGAGACTTTTTCAAGTTTTAATTGTTAAAACATTGAAGTAGTGTTGCTTTTGGATCAAAATGGAACAGTTAGAAGGGGAGCATATTGTTGGTGATAGTGTGGATAGGGGTAGTAGGAAAAGAAAAAGGAATACAACAAGCCGTGAGAGAAAAAAACAAATAAGGTATTTGTTAGGTTATAAGCCTAAAATATTTTATTATTTTCCGTTTCACTTTTAAGGTATTCCAATTTGGACATCAATCTAGACAATTTCAACGTAGTTTGTAATCATAAAAATTCTAATCTTGATTGCGAAGAATTATCGAAAGGAGCTATGCTGAAAATCCGCCAAACCTTTTTCGAGAGTCCTAACAAAATTACGCAGGACAACTTGCTTGCAAGCTACATGGAGATTAAGGAGCCAAAACGAAAACGAAGTCGCAAAGAAAATGGAAAGTCCCATAATTTTTCCGTAAATTATTTCGTAAGTATAACCATCTGAAATGTATTTTAAACTGTGACTTACTCTCGTTTTTTTTCAGATATTTTTTGAAGGTGATAAAAAACAAATTTGCCAGAAACTATTTAGAGCTATGTTCAGCGTGTCTCAAAGGCGAATAAACACAATATGTCAGAAAATAAAAATGGGATCAAGTCTTACTGAAAAAAGAGGAGGCGATAGAAAATCTCACAAATTTATCAACAAATTAAATGAGGTGAAAAAGTTTATAAGCAACCTGAAAGGGAAAGAAAGTCACTACAGCCGTTCTAAATCAAGAAGAATCTACTTGTCTGCCGAATACACCATTGCTAAACTTTGCAACTTCTATAATGAAAAAGTGACTAATGAAAAAAAAGTAAATTATAAATACTTTAGCAGGGTCTTCAGTAATCACTTCAACATAGGCTTTGGTAGCCCGGCTACAGATGTATGTAATTTTTGTGTTAAAACAGCAACGCAAATCGGTAATGCGAGGAATATTATCGATAAAGGCCAACTTGAGACCCAGTTAAAAGTTCACAAGGTTAGAGCATCTCAGTTCCATAAAATGATGAAAGAAGCATCTCCTAACTCAGTGTCTTTTTGTTTTGACTTGCAACAAGTGCAGGTTCTCCCAAAAGTTCCCATACAAGATGCTTTTTATGCACAGCAGCTGTCATTTTACTTTTTTTGCGTTACAGCCACAAACTGTAAAAACCCTGTTTTTTATTCATGGATGGAACACCAAGCTGGCAGGGGAGCGACAGAAATATCTTCCGCCCTGCTTGATTTTTTGAAAAAGACCAATTTTTCCCCGAATATAGACACTCTTCGGCTCTTCTCCGATGGATGCGGGGGGCAAAATAAAAATAGCTTTACCATCCACATGCTAATGTTATGGTTACACCGCTTTGCTCCAGAAACAATTAAAAAAATAGAAGTTATCTTCCCAGTGCGAGGACACTCTTATCTTCCGGCAGATAGAATTTTTGGGAGGGTGGAAAAGATTTTAAGACGACACGCGGTCATAAAAACACCTGAAAAATATTGGGAACTCTACAAACAAGTAGGTGAAATCAGAAAACTTGGAACTGATTGGTCATTGGTGAATATAAAAGAAGCTTCCATCTGTTTGAAAAAAGTCCTAGGAATTAGTTCAAGTAAAAGAATAATCATCAAACGGGGAAAGCCCTCAGGCGTTGTGGTGAAATCTGAATTGCTGTATCGAACGGATGATCCAGCGAAAAAATTCCAAACTTTGTTGAAACCTAAAAAGCGGTTGGATCAAATTGAACTTCCTAAAGTACGACTTGGACATGAAGTAAAGCAGAAAAAGCTTGATAGTCTAAAAAACCTACTTGTTTCATTGTCTGGTGACAAATGGTATGAAACAGACCCGCAGCTGAAATGGATGGCTGAAATATTTGAGAAAACTGTGGCAAACTGTAATGATGACGATGAAGAGCACGAAAATGACGAAGAAGCTTGTGGATGCGCTGAGAATGATGATAATGAATTCCTTTAAAAATAAAATTGTTTACTCCTAATATTATTGTAATACTTACAAATTTTGTTTTGTTGTTTCAATATACACCTTTTTTTAAATAAAACCAAATTTTTTATTATTGTTAACTTGACAATGACATTTAAATTGCATTTTGTCCACTAGAGACAATCAAACTGCATTCTGTCCAACAATTTTTTCAATTTTTTCAACTTGTTTTTCGACTTTCTTGTACCAAAACTTGTGATTGAGGTCGATACACCTGATAGCATTATATTATCCAGAACAAAATTTTCTGTCATGGTTAGCTTTTCTGTACTGGTTTTTTGCTTCTCCTGAAAATTGGTAAAAATGGACAAAATGCAATTTGCAAGTCTGCTCCTCAATTGGTCACAAAGCACATGATGTTAGTTTTATACATATATACAGAAAACTAACACCCTGTATTTTGTGACCGGAACGAATTGCTCGTTTAAACATATTAGATTTAAAGCCATAGGGTTTTGTATTTACCATATATATTCCCATACTTTGTATTTATGTAGCTTAATAAAAGAATCGTTAGCAGAAGGCATAGAAAGTTTTTATTTTTAGGCAACCTGTAAACCTGCAGAAAAAACACAAATTATACAGTCAGCTTCAAATATTAAAAAAGAGGAAGAAGATAAAATAAAACCCGGTAATGAATCACAACAGCAATGCGAAATTAATGAAAATACAGATAAACAGAGAGCAAAACCTTCTCAGGAAGCTATGAAAAATAAGATTGCTCTACTCGAAAAAAATCTGAATGCTTTGTATTCTGCCAGAGATACTATGCCAAGCCGTGCTGAAGTTGATAAACGGATCATTAAGTTGCGCGAGGAAATAAAAACAGCAAAACAGTATTTAAACAGGAAGGTTCAAAACGCAGTTGCCCAGAAGAAACACAGGGATGATATGAAAAGAAAGTTAGAAGATATTTGTCATGAAAATCCAGAAATAAAAAAAGACAATCTCTGAGGGATTCAGTGGGATGTCCTAATCTTGAAAGCAATCAACATTCACTATTGAAAACAATCGCGGATATAGCTTTATTTGGGAGTGCAGCAGATGATAGAAGACGAACGGAATCAATTCGCAGCGTAAAAACTCTTGATGAACCCATACAAGAATTACGTAAAATAGGATTTGACATTAGTCGCAATGGGACATATCTTCGTTTGATTCCCAGAAAATCTAATTCTGCAGAGGGACGAAGACATGTATCGACAGTCCCTGTTAAGCTCATTCGGGCTCAAACTGATCACCACAAGAGCCACTTAGATAGCAAGTTCGCTGAAACATCAATCAATTATTTAGAGAACATAGCATCCATATTTGGACCAGATCAAGTATTTTTCATATCTCAAGATGATAAAGCTCGAGCCCCTATTGGCGTAACTGCGGCAAATAAGCAAGCACCTCGTCTAATGCACATGGAATATAGAATCAAATTGCCTGATCACGATTGAGTAATCGCTGAGCGTCATAAATTAATACCATCTGTTTATGCTGGTATCAAAATCACTTCCAATATGCTATGACAACCGCAAGCCGTTGGATATTCTAGACCAACATACATCGCTATTCGAAATGGAAAGCATAGTTCACCTACTGCTAATACTCATGCTCAGGATTTCGAGACGCTTCTCGAACTTGAAGAGTTTCGACCATTAGCTAAAACTGACCATGGACTAGTAAAACCAGTGGTAATCATGACGGTGATGGAGGGCCAGATAAAAATCCACGTTATCAAAAAGTCATAGGGTTTGCTATACAACACTTTAAGCGACATGATCTCGATGAATTGTTTTTAGCTACCAATGCTCCTGGAAGAAGTGCGTATAACAGAGTAGAGCGCAGAATGGCTCCTCTTAGTCGGGAACTGGCTGGTTTAATATTGCCTCATGACCATTTTGGGTCTCACTTGGATGAACGTGGCGATACAATTGATGAACATTTAGAAAGATCTAATTTCGAATTTGCAGGAAATGTATTAGCTGAAGTATGGAGTTCAATGAAAATTGATGGCTATAATGTTAATGCAAAATATGTTGGGGCAGGTGAATGTCTCGATGAGAACGACGTAGACATTCCAAAATCCGATGACAGCGAGCAAACTCACAACACTGAGCAGCAATCGAAGCAATCCAATGTCATCGAAAACTTAGAATCATGGATTCGAGTTTCATGGACTGAAGACTGTTAATTTGAATTTAATATAGTACCAAAAATTTTAAATAAATTTGTTATGTTAGTAAGATATAATATTTTTGTCCTTTACTCTATGTTGAATACCGAATCAGTAAAATATAATCTCTATCCTAAATCTATTTTCTTATTTTTCAAATTATAATTATTAGGTTATAATTATAATATAAAAAAAACAATACATTAATTGACAAATGTTTACGTAAGCATGGGGGGAGGGGGTAAGAGCTTTGCTTACTTTTGCTGACAAGGGGGATGGGGGGGGGGAGGTAATAATTGTAATAAATCTGCTTATGTAATACTTGAACGGCCCCACTGGACTAATTTTACAAAGCCCAAAAAGCTTTTTTATTCTTTTTATAGCAATAACTTTTCGTTAGAATTGCATCAATATCAAAGCAGTACTTTAAGAGTTATCGAGGGGCCAAGAATTCCTAGACAGACAAAACAATGGAAAAAAGTGAGATGTGGGTCACAATAATGTGAAAAAACTCAAAATTAAAATTTGTTTGTTTAACTTTAAATAAAAAGCATTTTAAAGGTGTTTCATCGGAATTCATACCTCTTTAGCTGCAGCTATATCAATGAACTTTTTCTCTGCAATTTTCTTCATTTTCTCATCATTCTGATAATTGTCCGGGTGCCATTTTTGCGCCATTTTTCTATATGCCTTCGTAATTTCTTTTTAGATGCTGTTCTCTTCACGCCCAGGATCTTATAATAATCCCTTTTCTCCGCTTGTTTTTGTCTACTCTCGGCCTTCTGAAGACCCTCTTTGGCTCGGTCGAAATGCGAATCCACCTGAAAATAACATGAAAATATTAATACATTTTTCCAAGGTTTGTTTCCAAAATAGATGAAAACAAATTATCACTCACCCCTAAGGCAGACCTGAAATCCCTAATGGCGTCGTCGTACAACTCAGACTGCAGGTACGCCTCGGCTCTATCACAGTACACGTTAGGATCATCGTTGAACTTCAAAGCGTCACTGCACGCCGCTACCGCCTCGGAAGATTGTTCGTTATTTGAATAACACGTACACAGCAGCCTATTTCCCTCATAAATTATATTCGGTACATCTTTCTCGTTTTTCAGAATTTTCTTAGCAGATTCGACGCATTCGCCGTAATCTTTCACTTCCAATGCCTGTTCTGCATCGACGATGAATTTTTCTATCTTTTTGATTTTCTTGTAGAAGGGAAAGCAGTCCTTATGTTCAGGATCGAGTTTGAGACACTCCCTGACCGATTTAAGCGCTTCTGTGGCGTGCCCTACTTTGTACAGCATTTTAGCTAGTTTTAGGTAACCTGAGGTGTTGTCACTTTGAAGTTTGGTCGCAGCTTTTATGTCCGCTGAAACAACAAAAATATATTTTTTGTGGATGGAATAAACAAAGGTTTATGCCCAAGTAGGTGAAAACGGAATGCCGTTTATAATTATTTTGATTTAACTTTGCAATGTTCAGTCACGTGTGTTGTGTCGTAATGGTACTCTTTATTCAGTTCGCAAAAAATCCAAAATTTTTAACTCGGTTTTCTCATATTTCGATTTTTGCACAGCCACAGCATGCTTCAAATATGGTCATATTGCCAAAAAAACAAGTTGATGAAATTATTGTTTCTGGGTGTAACACTTTTAATGTCACCGAGTATAATTTGTTGTTTTTTTTAAACATTATTTGGCGCTGAACTTGTTCGAAATTCTAATGCGTCTGGTTCGTTTTTCAATACTTTTATTGGATACCACTAACATGATTTGTGGCGCTAGACAGCCAGGAAAAGCTGCTTCATCAAAGTCATTATAAATATCACTAAAGGTCCTCAAACCAAACTAAAAGGAAACAGTAGCACATTTGGCTACATAAACAGAATAATTGTAAACAACTTAGAACTAGTAAATTCAAGCCATATGATGTAAATGCTGGGCAACCTATAATTGTAGATTTAACAAGTGATTTCTCAATTTTACTTCAAATTTTGTCAAAGTTTTCTGGTCTTTTATCTCTGAGTATAATTTATCATATTCAATGAACCCTTGATGGAATACAGATTTGTAGCATGTTATATTTTTGGTCATTAAATGGAATTCATCTTTATTTCTCGTTTTATGTAAATGATGGTCGACATTTGATGATGTTAAATTAGTTAAGACTTGATGGAAATTTTTTACTTTATAAATAAATATCATTACAAGATATTTGATATAATTTTTTACATTGAGCCATTTTAATTTGCTAAGCATTTGCCTAATTGGAGTATATTTATCTTTATTTAGTATTATTCTCATGCACTTATTTTGTAAAATTTGCAGTGTTTCAAAAATAGAATTATTAGGTAAATATAGAATAGTTGAACAGTACAAGAAATTTGGAAGAATGATGGTATTATAGATAATTTTTCTGCTATATGAACTCAGACATCCAGAAACTCTCGATAAATATCCCACTTTACTACTAATCTTATTTATAACTTTTTCATAATGAATATCAAAAATTAATCGAGAGTCAACAAAAACCCCCAGGTATTTAAAATTTTCTACGAATTCAATATCTTCACATCAATATTCAGTTGAACATTTGTACATTGTTTTTTTCCGATTAACAAGGCTTTCGTTTTACTTGTATTTAATTTCAGTCTGTTAGATGCTAACCATTTTGAGACAAGTTTCAAGTCTTCATTTATATAAGAGATACCAGTCTGAATATTTTTAGTACTTATATAAATCATAGTGTCATCGGCGAAAATCTGAATTTTGCATTTTTTGACTATGGCAGGTAAATCATTTATGTATAAAATAAAAAGAAGTGGTCCCAGGATACTGCCCTGTGGAACACCCAACTTATTTTCAATTTTTGATGAAATAGTGTCATTAACTTTTGTAACTTGCATCCTTTTAGAAAAATAATTTCTAAACCAATCTAAAACACTTCCTGTTATACCATATGCCTTCAATTTACCTAACAAAATATCTCTATTGACAATTGCTGTCACGCAACATTACTGGCGCAGAATTTGAAATATCCCTTGTATAGTACAATACAAAACTTACAACAACAACAAACATTTGTATGGAAATATCAATATCATCATTTTAGTCTGTTAGATGCTAACCATTTTGAGACAAGTTTCAAGTCTTCATTTATATAAGAGATACCAGTCTGAATATTTTTAGTACTTATATAAATCATAGTGTCACCGGCGAAAATCTGAATTTTGCATTTTTGACTATGGCAGGTAAATCATTTATGTATAAAATAAAAAGAAGTGGTCACAGGATACTGCCCTGTGGAACACCCAAACTATTTTCAATTTTTGACGAAATAGTGTCATTAACTTTTGCAACTTGCATCCTTTTAAACAAATAATTTCTAAACCAATCTAAAACAGTTCCTGTTATACCATATGCCTTCAATTTACCTAACAAAATATCTCTATTGACAATTGCTGTCACGCAACATTACTGACGCAGAATTTGAAATATCCCTTGTACAGTACAATACAAAACTTACAACAGCAACAAACATTTGTATGGAAATATCATAGTTTACTTACATATAGCGGCGATTTCGTCTCCATTCAACATATGGAGCTCGGACCTGAACTCGTATAGTTCAGTGGCCCAAGGACTGATTTCAATGGCTTCGTTTAGGTAATGTATGGCGCTGGCGTAATCATCACGTCCATAGTAGTACTCGGCGGTACGCTTGCGTTCTTTCGCCGGGTCGATTTTCTGGATGAGATCATTTGCTTCAACATTGTAAGGGTCCGTTTTTAACTGGAACAGATTTTGATGTAAGGGAAAAGGTTTTTTTTTATACTCCAACCACCACGAAGGCCTAAGGCCTAAGCACCCATTGGGTACCGTGGGGCTATAGGGGGATACATGGGAAAGGGGGAACGCCACACGGACTCTGGCGAGGGAACACGTGTGCATGCAACATGCACACATTCTGGCTCCGCCTACGAGATCCGCCGGGTGGTACCTCCGCGTTCGACAGTCAGAGAGCGTCTACCACCGGTTCCGGCAATAAAAACAACTGCAGGATCAAATTGGATCGAGTTCAGATTTCCTCATGTTGTTCATTTATATGAAGTTTTATTCAAGCAATTCGACGAATGTTTCAATGACTTTGACAGACAAACTGTTTCAAATACGTTTTGCATTACTTTGATCGCGCCATTGTAGCAGAAACTGCGAAACATAAATTACACAAATATTTTAATATGTAATTGGTGATGAGTGAAATATGAGAGTTGATTTAAGAATGTTTGCCCATTAACTTTTTTTTTACTCCACTCTAAAGAGATCAAAACATGTAAAATACCATAAACGAATTTTAAGCTTTATTAAAAATGTTGAATCCTGAAAAAAATCAGACTACACTCAAAAGCATCAGAAATTGATAAGCAAACTCGGGATCATTCTTAAATATTTTGTTCTTCATTCCTAAGCCTGCCGCCACTGAACTGGTACTCAATACCTACACCTTTTTTATCCTTAGCACTGGAATAAACATAAACACAAAAATAATGGGTGATTTTTTTGCTAGTATCTTTTTGGCAACACTGTTTTTGACAGATGACGCGTGAATCGTGTCTTGTGTCATTGTCAAACTTGTTTAGTTTGATCTATAATTTAACCATGAATCGCCTTACGAACGAACAATGCTTGCAAATTATTGATTTTTACTATCAAAATTCATGCTCGGTTAAGAGAGTGCATCGAGCACTGCTTCCAATTTATGGGCAATTTGGTCGGCCTACTGAGGGAGCTATTCGGAAGCTTGTGACTAAATTTCGAACCCAGTTTGCATTATTGGACATTAAACCACCAACACGCAAACGTAGAGTGAGGACTGAAGAAAATATTGCGGCTGTATCCGCCAGTGTTAGTGATGACCGTGAAATGTCGATTCGCCGCCGTTCGCAGCAATTGGGCCTCTGTTGGAGGAAGATCCACATTTTTATCGAAAAATTGTGTTCAGCGACGAAGCTCATTTCTGGTTGAATGGGTACGTTAACAAGCAAAATTGCCACATCTGGAGTGAAGACCAGCCAGAAGCATTCCAAGAGCTACCAATGCATCCCGAAAAAATCACTGTTTGGTGTGGATTAAGGGCCGGTGGCATCATCGGGCCGTACTTCTTCAAAGACAACGATGGCCGGAACGTAACTGTGAATGGCGAGCGCTACCGTGCGATGATAAAAAACTTTTTTTGCCCAAAATGGAAGAGCTGGACTGACATGTGGTTTCAACAAGACGGTGCCACATGCCACACCGCACACGAAACAATGGCCCTATTGAGAGGCGAGTTCGGTGAACAGTTTATCTCACGTTTGGGGCCATGTTAAGGCTAATGTCTACAGGGATAAACCAGCAACGATTGACGCACTGGAAGCCAATATTGAAGCATTTATTCGTGAGATACCGGCCGATATGTTGGAGAGAGTATGCCAAAATTGGACCTTGCGCATGGGCCATCTAAAGCGGAGCCGCGGCCAATATTTACATGAAATAATCTTTAAACATTAAATTATATCGACCGTTTTATCGACTCAAATAAAGATTTAATCGTTGTTTCAAATTTTTTTTGTTTTTTTTTTTGAAAATCAAATCCTATACCTCTTAAAAAATCACCCGTTATAAACATCAGACGGGTATTTTCCAAGTTATTATTAAGGGTTACTGGACCAACAGAACTGATTGACATATTTCTTCACAATGATCATGATTTAATCGAATATCTCGGTTTCAAAAACGACTATTAAATGACTCGCATATATTCCAAAATATAATTTAGAAAGACACTATTATAACCAAATTTAGCAAATCCTTGACGTTTACAAATGAACGCCAAAAATAGATTGCCAAAGAAAGACCGTGAATTAAAACTGTAAGAAGTCTGGTATCGAGAGATCGACGCAACGCCTACACATGCAAATGTTCAACTAGAAAAAGGTCGCCACCCATATGTAGCAATACCAACAGCTAATTATCAGATTGTTACACGATTGTTAGGCCATATTTGAATTGTCACAATCAAAAAATAATTATTATGAGACTATTCCATTCATAATACTGTGGCTATAGAATAAATATATGGAAAACTTAATGTAAGACAAATTGTTTGGAACTAAATTGTATGACAAGAGGCAACTGACACAAAGGAAGATGGTATCTTTTACAATGCTGATGTTGCAATAAATTGTTTTTATTCCATTTATCAGTAAAAGTAATGAAAATGTAGCACTCAGCAAGAAGTCAGCTAAAAAAAATGTTGAGTCAATCTACCTGATAATACTACATTTTTGAAAATGTTAGGCAACAATAAATTCAAGAATGATAATACATTGACCTTATACCCTATAAATAATCGTGTCACAGATAGGATATTTTTATAATTTTAATGTGGGTGTTTACATTTCATATTCAGTGAATTGCTACATTATGAAATGAAATTCAGTTTTGAATTTTTAAAACTTGCCATTAGATAAAAAATGTGTAAGCAACATGAATGCTATAAATTATTTGAACAAGTGCACTCATTCATCATCTTTCTTATATCTATATGTGATATGATAATAATCAAATATAGTGTAGATAAAGCTATTATATAGATTGTAATTGAGATGTCATATATAGAGCTATAAAAGAATAACATCTAGGCTCTCAAACAATAGCTAAGAAAACACTTGTACAAAAAGGTGCTTATAATTAGAAATCCTAATAAAGGTATTCTGCTGGATGTTAATTCAGCTTCTAGTACACATCAGGAATTAGAGCAAAGTTAAGGTCTACACAATAAACTTAGAGTGAATTTTTTTATGAATACTTAACCTTTACAAACACCCATATTAAAATATTCTAAGCATTTCTTATCAGATCCAAATGTACAACTCTTATGTATGTCAAAACAAGTTATTATCGAGAGGTTCAAACCATCTGACTATCAGATTATATTGATCTAGCCTGCTGTAAAAAACCATCTGGGACAACTAGAAACTCACTACAATTTAATAAGAGAAACATATTTGTAGCAATACTTACAGCATTGTAGAAATCTAACTGTGCCAAATCATAGTGTGCCTGTTTGAGATGGATACTGCCTCTACTTATCCTAGCAGCAGTAAAATCTGGTTTTAGCTCCAGCACTCTATCCAAATCACTCAAAGCATTCTTGGCTTTTCCCAAAGCAAGATAAACAGTACCCCTTTTAAAATATGTGAGGTAGTTATCAGGATCACCCTCTACAACACATAAAATGCAATTTGAAGATATTAACTTATGGAAGGCAGAGTTGTGTAGTATCTAAGCTAACTAGTTTAACAAGCTCAATTATGCTATTTTACACAATAGTTTAACACCTTATGGAGCCTATCTAAATTCCCCATTGCATTAATTTTATGTTTTGGGGTGTTAGTCTTATTTTTACTTAACCTTTCTCAGAAGGTACCAGTAAGTCAACCCTCTACTCAACTTTGCAGACATTGAAAGTGCATGTAGATGTTTTTAATGCCTCACATTTTGTCTTTCACAAAATAAGGAATGTCTGGCAGCCCTGGGGCTAATACTAAAAATATTGTGTATGTGGATATGATATTACAACTGTACCATAGCATAGTTAGAACTGTTAGCTAATATAAACTTATAATAAAATGAATACAAAGCTTGTCTTATTTGTTCTAGTAGAACTACATCTCAAAGATATTTAAGTATCAAATCTCCTCCTTTCTGTAGTTACCCTGTGTTGTGAGCTCTTATTCGATGATACTTCTATGACCTATGATCCAAATAAAAAGATGTTCTAGCATTTGACTCACCTACAGCCAGGTGATAGTGACTTAATGCATCCCCTAGTTGTCCTTTGGCTAAATACTGTTTGCCTAATTCTAGATGCTTATCTATCTCCGATTGTGTGATACATTCTGAAACTGTGGCAGGGTTTGTTAAAGAGCAAAAACCATATTTTATAGGTTAAAACCTACCTTTGAAGAACAATTCGAGCACTAAGAATATCAAATATGGGCTTAGTTTCATCAGCACGTTCCTGTTTACCAAGTCCATACTGTACGTGGTAAAATCGCCCTGATACATTTTGATCTGAGGAGATACTAGAAAAATCAAAATAAATTCATTTCTGACATGCAAAACACAAGGCTGACGCACACGCACATCGTGGTTCGATGTGATTGGTCCACGCATGCATGGAACACGCATGTGCACATGTGCATAAAATGTATAGTAGATAACTAAATTTTCATATCAACTTCACTAAAGATCAACAGATGTCGCCTTAGTGTTACCATGCGTCATCTACTGGGCACTAGGCAAACAATGTGTTAATTCTCTATCCATTCAATCTTAGTAACCCTTGCATAGACGCAATGAATAAAACATCCACTCATAGATGTCGCCCTTTTATCTAGAAAGCGCCATCTATTAGGTTATGACAAGACTAATATTGGTGGATTAAGATTAGGTGTTACCAATTTGCAATAATTTGTAGAGTTCTTTTATCATTGGTGGTTTTAACCTTTTCCCCACTACCCTTTGCAGGGATGACTCCTCTCTAAGGCCCGTATCGTTCCTTGATTGTCATAGTATTCTATTTTTCCATGTCAGTGCTCTATTTTGAGGTTATGTCACAAACATCTATTTGCATCAAATTGTGGTTGCTTTTGAGTTATATCATGTTTTATCAGCCTGAAATTTTCTACAATTTAAAAGGAAAACATATCTTCACAATAGGAGACAGCTGACGCTGACACGGGACAAGTGTAATCTAGAAATTTTTGAAGGAGAGAAAGGAGTATGACTAATCAAGGAGGCCATAAACGCGCCCTACAATTGTAGGGACGACTGGCGATACGGGCCTAACAGACAGTCTCGAGTCCCTTTCGCACCGACGGGCGATCTAGCTCTTTTCAACCGCTACACCAACGGGCTTTGCTCCTCAGAGCGGTCTTTCATGATGCCGTCGCACGATGTGCCTGCCAGGCAGACCCGCCCGACTTTGGCGTCCCATCTTAACCGTGTCAAACTTCGTACATCCAGAACTAGCCGATACGACAGCTCCTTTGTCCCGAGGGTGTCGAAATTATGGAACAATCTACAAGAAGAAGCTTTTCCCAGTTGTACTAACCTTAGGCGGTTCAAAAATCGTATTAACAAAATTTCTTTGGGATCACCATAGCAACCGCGGTGTTCCGGCATGTAGGCTTCTGTCTGAGTGGCTGATTAGATATAATAAAAAAAACTCCTGGTGGCTCCTAACAACCACTCAAAAATGCGTTTTCGGCTTTGCAAGGGTCTGTTTTCCCCTTAGAAGTTGGATGATCCCATTTCTAGAAAACTTTTGAGTTTGCGTACGGTTTTGAGCGACGGCTGTAATCCTAACATAGAAACCATATTTTTATTTCAAAATTACAGGAAATAAAGAAACATAAATCATCTCGTTACATCCCCGAATCGAAAAATTCAATTTGAAGATATTTGGGAACATGAGTGTCAACACCTATTTCAATCCACCATGGATTAATTTATTTAATGCTTCACAGATGGCGCGAATTAACAAATGGAGTGGCATCTCTGGACCTCTGTGCGAATTTCCACAAAATATATAAACTTAAAAAAGATTTCTATACAGGCGGAAACTGACGCGACATCTAACGGCCATTTATTTAACTTAGTAATGTCATAACCTAAACGATTAATGTTTTTCGTCAAACGTTGACGTTTACAAAATTTGGACCTGGAACATTTTCAAAAAACCAGAATGCTTTTAATTTTATATTTGTTTTTATCAATTACCTGTACGAATGTTGCAGTGGCCTGGGATAGTGAACAACTGGAAGTTTTTGATGTGGTAGACGAGGTTAAACAAAACTTCTACGAACTTTTAAATATATCAAAGGTAAATACCATACATTTTTCATTTTTTTACAACCTTTTTTTGCAGGTATTACATTATATATACAATTTACTCTTAATAATCCATTTTGTCTTGATATGCAAGCATAAGGCGACGTATTTCTGTAATTTTCACTGTAACCTCTCATAACCCCTGTATTTTGCATTTAATCAAAAATTATGCAATAAGCTCTTAAAATACTTAATTGAAATTTATTATTGCCTCTCTGATTTATCACACTTCTTTCGACCAATTCTGAATGGTGCTTTAATATCATTTCATACTATAGAAAATGTTTTCAGAGATAATTGAAATACAAATACATATTTTCAGGATGCAGGTAATTCAGAAATTAAATCAGCATTTAGGAGCTTGTCTCTTAAATTGCATCCAGACAAAAACAAAGATGTAGATACCTCAGAACAGTTTAGGAACTTAGTATCAGTGTATGAGGTGTTACGTAGTCCTACAAAAAGGAAGTATTATGATGAGGTTCTTATCAATGGATTACCAAATTGGCGTTCTGGGCTGTTTTACTACAGATACGTCAGAAAAATGGGGATGACTGAGGTCATTGTCATTTTATTTGCAATTGCTACTGTTGGACAATACCTCATGAAGTGGGGTGCCTATTTTGAAAAAAAATTGACATTGGTATGTACTATCTTTATACATTGCCTGGAAAATGTTTTGTTCAAAAAGTATTCATTGTCTATTTCTACAAGATTTAATAATAATAAAAATGTTTCCAGCAAGACCAAATAAAAGTACACAAAAAAGTGGGTCGAAAAGCTGTGTCAGAACAGCAAATAGCAATAGATATTCCAAAGCCATCAGTATTTGATACATTGCCAGTACAAATACCAAAGTTGATTTGGTACCTTGTAGTATCAGTGCCCACAGCACTGGGCTTCTTAAAAGGAGCAGTTGAGCAGAAAATTGAGGATATCAAGAGGCCTCCTACACCAGAACCTGAGCCAGAACCAGTTAAAGTTAGAAATAGGACTGCAAGAAAGAGAAATAAATTTGTTCCACCTGAAGGTATATTTTGTTTTATGTGCATTGACAGAGCAACCAGTATCATTATTTATAGGTCCAAATTTTGAAACAAAATCAAGCAAAACGGAAAAGGTAGTAACAGATAATTCTTCACCTCCTCCAATGTCAGGTGGTTTATGGACTGATGATGACCTAGCAGAACTGATAAGATTGGTGAAGAAGTACCCGCAAGGAGCAAATAAAAGATGGGAGTCAATTGCTGCAGCTCTTGGTAGGTTTGAAAAAATATTTATCTAAGCACAATCACGTGGGCATATATTGATGATTTTCAACAGGCATGTTTAACAACCTGGCAAGCTTATAAAAATTTCACTTTAAACATTGTTCTTGTAATGTCTTCCTGTAACATTACTCCATTTGGAATGAACAAGAGTTATAAAATCTCTTCCCTTCTATAGTTTAAACATAAAATTTCTCGCTAAAATCCGAACGAGATTTTAAGATCACAAGTTATTTAAAGTCTTGTTCTTAGAATTTTACTTTGCAGGTGTGAGAAAAATATAGCATTTTGTTTTGATTTTTATGCCACTCTATATTTGTATCAAGAAAAAAATTAATTCTTATTGGCTAATTTCTCCAGCATTTAATACTGCTTTTAATGTAAATTCTAATTCTTTTTTTTTCAACACTAGAAAAAAAAGATTAACTGCTTCAATCCTGGAAATTGTATGTATTAATCTATATCCTCTGTTAAAAATACAATTTTCTCTAGGTTGCACATGCTTCATTTGGGACAGTGATGTAATCATTTGTTAACGGACTAATTTTTTTTAAGAAACACTAGTGTAAATATACTAAGTGACATATAAAATGGTTTTATTTTAATAAAAGTTGGTGAATGTACTTATCTTACTGTAAATAACAAGTGAAAAAATTTTCAACCTTATCAGTTGGACATTCCGGTTTTTATACCGCTTTTTTTTAATTCACTAACTGCTCTAAAAATCAATATTTCAGCCGCAGTAAAGAATCAACGTTGGCGGATTTTGGTTCTTGACATCCTTTACGATCGGTTACGATGCCTAGAGTACGGAGACCTGTAGGATTTCGTCACCTTAGTGAGTTTGATAGGGGCCGTATAGTGGGACTTCGGGAAGCTGGACTTTCTTTTCGGGCAATTGCAGTTAGAGTGCAAAGAAGTGTAGACACTGTGGTTAGGTGTTGTCAGGCATGGCTTCGAGAAGGCCGTACGCAAAGAGCAAGGGGCACTGGACGCCGCTGTAGAACAACAGACCGTGAAGATCGCCGTCTAAGATTATTGGCCTTAAGGGACCGTTTCTCCACTACCAGGTCCATTGCAAATGAATGGTTTGCAGAACACGGAAGACCTATTGGCATGCGAAGTGTTTACCGACGAATGAGAAGTTTTGGCTTGTTTTCATACCGGCCACACTGGGTCCTCCCTTTAACTCGAGAACACCGACGTAATCGCCTTGAGTGGTGCAGACAACGGTCACTCTGGGATCAGGAATGGAACAGTATTGTCTTTAGTGACGAGTCTCGATTTTGTTTAGGCATGCACGATGGTCGTGCTAGGGTTAGAAGGCGACGTGGTGAAAGGAGGAATCCACAGTTTTTTGTTGAAAGACATGTTCATCACACTGATGGAGTTATGGTTTGGGGTGCTATAGCTTATGGTTCCAGGTCACCTTTAATCTTCATCAGAGGTAACATGAACGCGCAGCGTTATATCCACGGAGTTCTAGAACCCCATCTTTTACCCTATCTTGACACCCTGGCAGATCCAACTTTCCAACAAGATAATGCCCGACCACATGTTGCAAGAGTCACAATAGACTTCTTTCAACATAATGATGTCACATTGTTACCATGGCCACCAAGATCTCCCGACTTATCCCTTATCCCCAATTGAGCACGTGTGGGATATGATGGGTAGGAGATTGCTCAATTTGCAACGTCCTCCTCAGACTCTAGAAGCACTTCGAGAGGAGTTGGTGGTTGCCTGGAATGAGATACCACAGGAGGACATTGACCACCTGATCAGAAGCATGCCTAGGCGCGTTGGAGAATGCGTAGCACATCAGGGTGCATCCACACATTATTAAAGGTCAAAGGGCTTTAAAGCAGTGCAATCATTTTGAAATTTTTATCATTTACTTATTATGCTTCATTAAATACTTATACAAAATTTTATTAAAATAAAACCATTTAAACTGGGTGTTCGGATTTATATGTCACTTAGTATAACAAAAATGGCATTCTTGTTGCTTTTGAACAAGATTATCTAGTATTAAAAGAGTAGTATAAAAATCAGTTGCAGACAGCTGAGATTTGGCAAGCAATGTTTTTTATATAACCATGTCATGATTGATTTTTCACGCTAGAAGAAGCAGAGCATAAATGAATTGGAGCGTGTAAAATTGCTATGATTATCAAAAAAATAGATTTTATAATAGATGACTCAATTGTAACTTTTGGTGGTTTTCTTAAATAATATTTGATACGTAACTGTATGGCGATACATGTACCCAGCCGTTTCCAAAAGCAGCTAAAACAATAGTTCAATATCTTAATTTTCTTGCACCGAAGCAGTTGCGCAGGCAGAGGCCTAAATGCCAGGGCACCGCGGCTGTCATGATGATCCCAAGAAACTTTATTAATCCTATTTTTGAATTGCGTAAAGTTAGTAGAACTGGGAAAAGCTTCCTGTTGTAGATTGTTACGCAATCGCGGGAGCCTGGGACAAAGGACTGGTCGTATCAGTCTGTTCTGGATGTATGAAGTTCAACATGGTTAGGATGGGAGGCCGAAGTCAGGCGGGTCTGTCTGGCAGGCAGATCGCGCGGCGGTATCATGGAAGAGAGCGCTGAGGAGCAAAGGCCGTTGGTGTAGCGGTAGAAGAGAGCTAGATCGCCGATGGCGAAGAGTCATCGATCAGTCGAATACTCTTCGTCTGGACAGCGTTGAGCATGAATAATGTAGTCGGGGTGCAGCACCCCAAACGTGTGAGCAATATTCTAGGCTACGTCTTATCTGGGACTTGTATAGAGTGTGGAGAAAAGTACTTCTTAGCCCTAAACAAATAGCCTAGCTTTTTCCCATTGACGAGATGTGCTCGTGCCAGATCAAGTCTTCGGGTGATCTGTACTCCGACCAGCCGAAAATGAACGGCTATTTATCAGAACTAGGCCATCCAATAAAACCTAGGACGCTCTTTGTTCGTCAAGCTACAGTACTGAGTTTTGGAAGCATTAAGCTGTATAAGATTGTTATTATTTTCAAACATTGTATGATAATGTTTCAAATACAGCTGAAATATTGATATTTTTTAAGGTCGCGCAGTACCGGAAGTGACATACATGGCCAATAAAATGAAAGAGAATGGCTACAAAGTACCGACAGAGCAAGAGGAAGAGGTGCAGGTGAAAGTGAAACAGAAAACAAAGAAGGAGGTTGACACTGGCGACGTAGTCAAGAACTGGAGTCAAGACCAACAAAAGGCTCTTGAAGATGCGCTTGCTAGATTTCCGAAAGGGTGTACAGATAGGTGGGACAGGATAGCAGAACATGTACCAGACAAGACTAAGGTATGGTGTCGCATTTTCAGTTCCAGACATTAGTGGAAAATGAGAACACACTTAATATTAATCAAATATGAGATTGATAAGATAAGATCACTCCAAATTATTGGTATCACTATCATCAAAAAATTAACCATTCTAATATTCAAGATCGACATATATGATAGTATAGTAAAAAAATAGATGTATATTATATTCCATCTTTCTAATTAGCTTTACCTTTTTCAGGAGGAATGCATGATGAGATTCAGATATCTTGCGGATATTCTTAAAAAACAAAAGGAGCATAAAGAGACGGATCAAGAAAACCAAGAATCATGAACATTTATATAATATGTAGGAAATGTAAACTCAAGGTTGCCAATGAAATTGAAATAAGCATATTTTACAATTTAGTTTCCCTATATTGAAAGAGCGTTCCATTGCAGTTAAAAATATTCTGTGATACATTAACCTATGTTTTTTGACTGATGATATGATCTAGGTTCCACTTTGGTGTTGTCTAAAACATTTATGGTACCGTAAATTCACGTTTACTTCATTTCTAGGTTATGTAACAGAAAATAGTTTTTCGATACAATAAGTTTGTTGGACTATTTCAAAATAATCATGTGATCTAGTCTACGTTGCTTTTTTCGCAGAATGCGACACAATTGATTCACCTCCTTAATGTCTTTCTCCCTACTTCTCAAAAGTTATCTGACTACCATAATCACTTATTTTGATCCGTGTCATTGAACCAAGGGGCGCGCGCCTCCCCGAGACGCCCAAGTCTGCCATATTTTTTTCAAGAAACGTTGCTGTATCTTAGTGTAAAATTACCTAAGACGTGCGACCCCCCCCCCCCCTAGACCTATACCGCCCCCTTTCAGTTTTGTTACAACAGCGCTCTCAGAGGCGCTACTTACTTAGCACAGTATCTTTCAGCATTAGAAAACCTTGAATGTCGATCGCACAATTTATTAATATGCTTTAGACAACAACCAAAATATGCTTTATATTGAGTATTAAAACTTTAAATGAAATATATAAGATTTTAAATATTATATACAGTATTGTGCTTGTTGTGGAATAAAACGGTTGTTAATAAAAGTATGCGTTTATTCATATGTATACATGTAAATATAAACAATACTATATCAGACGTTATTGCATTTACGCTATTATCTCATGTTGTCACACGAACGAAAAGACCTAGATGAAATTCCAGCGAAGCAACTTACCGGGAAGGTATTTTGGAGCAGTTGCTTCAAAACTTGAAATAAACTGATTCCGATAGAATCTACAAGTTACTCAAAAAATGCACGAATTGCGATATGCCTTTGGACAGGATATATCAAGCGATATACTGTAAGAAAAATAATCGTATGAGGTCACATTTATACGAGTAGTTATAGGTACAATTTGTATTTAATAAGTTGAAATAGCGTCACACAGCATTTTTTCAATTTTCTCTATCAATCGCGTAATCTTACTGGTTCAAAAAGATATAATTATAAAGAATAGTAGTAGAATCGATAGGTTATTATAACGAACACAATACAAGAGGATTTTACAAAAAACATGATCGAAAAATTATTTTCCAACAAATAAAGGGTTGTCCAATAGGGACGCAGGAAAGTAAACGCCAATTTGACATAGACGCCATCTTTGTTTTCTGTCACCGACATGTCATTTTGTTAGTTAAATTTACCATTGATCGCTATGGAGTCGAATTCAATTGAAGACCGCATTAAAGTTATTCAAGAGCACTTCAAAAATGGTGCACATCAAAAATCATGTTCAGCGACGAAGCGCATTTCACTTTGAATGGGACGGTAAAAAAGCAAAACTGCCGCATCTGGGCGAACGAAAATCCCCGTGAGTATCAAGAGCAGCCGATGCATCCTCAAAAAGTGACTGTGTGGTGTGCATTGTGGTCAAAAGGCATCATCGGACCTTACTTTTTCGAAAATGCGGCCGGGGACGCCGTTACCGTCAATTCTGAGCGGTATCACGTGATGATAGAGGACAAAAAATATTTTGCCGCAACTTGAAGGAATGGATATGGACGATGTTTATTTCCAACAAGACGGTGCAACATGCCACACAACCAACGTCAATATCCATCGATTGCAGTCCTTCTTCGGTGATCGCGTGATTTCGCGCAGAGGAAATGTGCCATGGCCACCAAGATCGTGCGATTTGACACCCTTGGACTTCTTTTTATGGGGATATTTGAAAAGCAAAGTCTACGTCAACAAACCAGCCACCCTATAAGAACTCAAAAACAACAACATTGCCGAGATAAATGCCATATAACCGACCATGTTGCAAAATGTCATTGAAAATTTCGACCATCGCGTGGACGTCTGTAAATGCAGTCGTTGTGAACATTTGAGCGATATTATTTTTCATACATAAATGGTATAAATGAACCTTCAAAATAAAGTACCCAACTTGATTTGAATATCAATGTTTCTTGTTTTAATATGCGTTTACTTTCCTGCGTCCGGTTTGGACAACCCCATATTTTAATCTACTCTCTGTTATCATGCATCTTCATAAGTACCTTCCTATAAATATTATTTCTGGTGTCAACTGCATAAAAAACGAAATTCATTTTTTATTAACGATCGCAGTTCGTGCATTGTTTGATCTATTGAGTTTCTGTTTCATCAGTGTACGGAAAACATAAGCTATTTGAAATTGGGCAAAAGTTGTGAGTATATTCTCGGGTACAATCTATTAAACGTTCTTTGGAAGTACTCAACCAACAGTATGTTTAAGTGATTCGGTATACACGTTATAATTACAAGCAGTGCTGAAATGGTTCCGTGACGTACGATAGTCATTGTATAAATATTTTCATAATACAAAACTTCAAGATTTCCTTGCTCAAACAGCGATGGCAGGTGTCCATAAATTATAAAAATACCCGTCATTTGAAAAAATAAGACTTAAAAAATGGCAGGCAGTATAAGAGAGTATGTATTTCGAGACACTGTTAACGCGATTTTTGATTTATAATGACAAGTGGATACGCATGGTTATACATTTTGCTTTTATGGTTTTACAGAGCATTATTCCGTTCTGATTCTGCTAATAACCAATAAGCTTCAAGTGGTCCTGAAACTACAACACCGTCAATCCACTGTACAGTATCAGAATGGTTCTGGGATAGTATCAAAACAAAATATATTCTGAAAACAGAATTAGAGTTGATGTGTTTCGTAAAAATGTTGAACATCCATGCATGGTCATTTGGCTGAAGTTGACTACCACTTTAGGACGAAATTGAAACTCTTGTTGAACTCCTGGTTAGCAGATAGGTTGCAGTTAACTTACAATTGAAAAACCGGGACTTGGTGTTGTGGATTCGCTAATAGTTGCTTTGGTCATCTTTCCTAGGAGTGTGATCAAAATAACTCAATGAATTCCCATAAAGGGGTACGTCACTGGAAAAGAGTCAATGCGATGAGTAAGAGTCGAATTAAAAAATAAAATGATCATTTGTGTCACGATGGAATGAGCTGTTTCCAAATCACAGTCGCATGGCTCATAAAAATCAGGTGCGGTAGAATTCAGTCGAATTCAATTACAGGTTAGGAACATTCCAGCTCCTACACTATAACAACTATATTCCACGTGGGTCATAGACAGCTGAAAACCGTAAATAATGTATAGTATTTCAATAGACTGTATCTGCTTGCTTTCCGTTGCCTGTGTCCAAAAAACATACCTACAATGTACTGATGAATGTTAACAAGCATTAAACACGTGATATATGGTTGTTTATGGTCACAGAGACGGAAAACAGACTCAGGTTAGTCGGTATTTCTAATCCCAATCGAAACCGACAAAACGCAGACCAATAAAAAAATGTGCATACATATTATATTTTGTAACACTGCAAAATTCAAATATTTGCGGATGATACGTTGCTATATCTATCACATAAATATTTGGACACCGCTTTGGAACTGTTAAATAGTGAAAATAAAAAAAAATTAATTGGTTAAACGTTAATAAAATTAAACAATAAACAAATGTATGTCAATAGGGACACATTTAGGTGATAATACAATTAGGTTCGTGATTAATGATGAAAAAATTGAAAAAGTCGAATCATTCAAATATCTGGGTCTATAAGTGGATAGTAAACTACTGTTTCAAAGATATCAAAAAAGATAAAAGTACTTTGGTTTTCCATAATCTCAGTGTGTATTCCAAACAAATTGTGTATAGCACCATAATTCGTCCCCATTTTTTATATTCTTCAACTGTTTTGTTTGCAGCAAATGATAATGTTTCCAAAATTACAAATTCTAGGAAATAAAGCGATGAGAATCATTTTAAAAAAAAACTAATATGCTAAGGTTAAGTCTACATTAGAAGAACTGGTTGAATGTAAAAAAATATAGGTTATTTAGTTCTCATTTTCATATTCAAATTAAAAAATCATTTATTATCACCACATTAAAAAAACTTCACAAAATTAAATAGTCATTATCACAACTACGAAACTAGAGGCATTATAGATTTTCATCCGCAAAACTGTAATAGCGTAACTAGCAAATCTGTATTCCAAAAGGGAGTACTTGAATTTAATAAATTGAACAATGACATTAAACAGTGTCGAATACAACAATGTTTAAGGTAAAATTAAAAAATCACTTTATGAATACCCAAAATGCATAGTGATTTAATTTTAATAGAGAATGCAAAGTAATAGAAAATTGATTCAAGAAATGAATAAAACAATAATAATAATACAAAATTAATGCTAAATACATCGCTAACAATCAAAATACGTTACAGTGGACCAACTATATCGCGACCGTGACCCCTGTCATTACGTGAAGTTTTGATTTCTAACTATGTTCAGACACATTCCATGTGTCGGCAGTCGGCACTTCTAGTCAGTCTTGCGTTGACGGTACATCGCGTCGAGTATTAAGTCATATTAAAATCATGCCTTATGCTGTTTTTGAAGACATGTCTAAACTAAAGAGATACTCAAATATTAAGCACTGTCTTTAAGTAACACCAACTTGTGTCTTTACGCGGCTTCAATTGGGAATAAAAATAAACACTATACATTGAATATCAACCGAGAATCATTCAGAATTTGTACATGTACTTTGAAAGAACAAGTTTTTTAGGTCGCCTTCTGTTGTTTGTTACGAGTACAGATCATTTGATATCCAGTTGTTTCATCTGTAATATTTACTAATATTTTTTTTTCACAAATTCGATTTGCACAATTTATCTGTTTCTTACTGTCAGTACCCACAGTGGATTGAGTTTCCAAACTAATAAAGTAAACTTAATTCCTATTTAATTCCACTGAATAAGTTTTTGGCATACTTCAACAATTTCCTTACATTTTTATTACCATATTACAACACTTCTATAATGGAATGCTACACCTTAACTGTTTAACATACAGCTACTTGCAGCAATACAATTTTAACAATAACAAATTTAATCGTCAATCTTCTCTGCCACAAGTTTGCATTCATCTAGAAAACCATCTATTCCAATATCATGTTTACTTCTAGTCAAATAATCATAGTTACATCAAACGAAAATATATCTCTGCAAACACCTTACAGAACAGGTGTTCATATATCCATATAAATACCAAACCAAATGAATGCATTTTAGTTTCTGAAATGCAATCACTGCTTTGCTATTTTCTATTGAATAAAGGAAACTAATTCATTTATTGGTTATCTGTGTTGTCAATAAGATTCCGAATAGCGTGATTGCAAAATTGAACGGTACCTGTAATTTCATATAAATTTAACTTGACATAATATGACTGATAACATATGTAAACATTAATTTTACACTGCTTTTGCTCTAGCACTACACCTAGCAGTTTTTCGCAATTTATTCTTGTATCAATAGAAATCAATTTTCATACATTTGACGTTTTTTTCAGGTGTTCATACCTCCGTTTCCACATTTCATATAAGCTTTGACAAAGTACAACACACTGTACTTTAAAAGTACTCCTAATATATAGAACAAAGTCAGTAATTAAATAGGAATACTCGAAAATAAATTAATATTTTTATACGGTGAGTAAAATATATTGTTCCACACGAGATAATCGCTAGCTCCTATCGAGAATGATGAACGTAAAGACAATCTTATGATAGATAAAAAATGCTATTTCAGAAAACAAAGTTGTTTGGAAACTACGGTGTTATAGTGCCAGTGAAAATTTTACTATCACAGAATCGCGACAATATTATATCAATCAAACTATGCTTAATCTGTCTATCAAGTCAATGATTTGTGTTATTTTAATATTCATAAATTTTAATCGTATAGCCATATGAATCTTTCGTAGAAAAATGCATTGTACCCACCTTGGATATATCACATAATCAATTAAACTCTCCAATAAATAAAAAACCTATAATCTTAATTCTTATGTCCTACACTTAATGGATATATCAATGGTTCTACACATGCAGCGCTATATAAAAAGTCAGCCACAAACAATAAATAATGTGCATTAATCTATTTCGCTCAGTGACTAAGTCACTTTTGCGTTCACGTATTTAAAAAATCACACTACAAATGTGAGCTCATCGGAGTAAAGTCTAACGAACTTTATCTTACAATCATAAACAAAACGTATCTATAGTCTGGAGCAAAGAACTGAATAAGGTAGTCACAAACAATGGAAAAAGATGTTTTACCGAATTATATAAGTTCAGTTTGGACTAAACTCCTAGAACTGTCACCAAATGTCATGCTACTATATCTCATTAATGAACAATTCACGTTTCTTGTCTTTACGGCATTATAAAAACTGTAAGATAAAAAACCATTAAGCATACTGATACATTTTAACAACAAACTACAAACTATATCACATATACAGAGTATTCTTCAAATAAGAGTCTTCGACATATGTTAGTTTACTTTTTTTGAGCCTTAGAAAGGTATTGTCAATTCAAGTTCTACTGACCTGGAAGGAATTGGCTGATATATCATCCGCTTATTCAAATGATCGCGTGATTAATACTGAATATTTTTTGAGTAGATCAAAAAGGGAGTTTTTTTTGCCAATGTCACACTTTAGCTAAATACGAGGTATACCAAGGCAGGCAAAAAAACTTAAACGAGAAAAATGATGTTTAATGACGTGTTAGTATTTAGTAAGAGATGCATGCAATGTTCCCAGAAGGATAATTATTCTTGGATGAATTCACTGCCCATCACTTTTATTAATGACAAAAACTCTCTTAAATTAAAAAAGTGGTTTCGCTTCTGGGATCACGGAGCTCATATGTGACTATATAGATATCCAGAAAGCTCCGATATGGAAAAATTATTACATAGGAGGTTTCACCGTAAATGTGTCTTTTCGTATTGTGTGCGTGTTTCTATTTTATAAAGCACCCTCGTACATAATTCCAAGCGACCAAAGCAGATGATACCGCAGTAGTAAACCGTCCAGGGTCGATAGCAAGCTCTTTGGGCGAGAGACCCCGTATAGTGACTAGAAGCGACATGTTTTGCTGCTTACGCACACATATATATTCTCTGCACATTGTTTTGTTTTGATCTACATGGAAGCTGCTAAGCGAAACGTCGTATTTAATGACGACATAGGCTGCGTACATGAAATGATATCTTTAATCTCTCACTATCGGTAGAAGTTCCCTTCATTAAAGGGTTCAGCTCAGTTCGGAGCTGGCCAATGGGACGCCGGCCAGCGCTATAGTCAGGTTTTTGACATGCGTCTGCCATGTCGAGCTTAACTGGAAGAACTTCACGCCGCCAAATTCGACACCGTCGATGTAGACTATAAAGAAATATAAAAAAATACTAAGCTTGCCGAGCATGAGAATTATTAAGTTCCTATCTAGATTGGTTTTGCCTTTCCACTTCACGAACACATACTCAAACACCGCCATTCTCAGTCACAGCAATTTAGATTTTAGGCATTCCCTTCAAAATAGGTTACTGAAATATTCAGATGAAGAATCTGTCGCTGAATACACGAGAGAGGCCCGCAATACGTATGTTAGTAAGTGTGCGCCGCAGCTACGTGCGTGGCCTCGTCACTCGGGTTGCTGGGCAACGTGGTGCTTCTATCTCCTTCTACAGGGTGGTCCATAAGTCCTTTGAAATTTCAAATTTGAATAAAATTTAACGGGTGAGCGTGAGCGGCGCGGGCGAGGTGGGCGCAGTATCTTCAGTGTCTGGGAATTCAGTCGCCATGGAGTGTTTCACTGGAGCGGATCGTGCTTTTTGTGTGCGTGCGTTTTATCAAAATAATGATTCGGCAACCATTGCGCGGCGTAAATATCGAGAATACCACAATTTACACAATCTTACAAAGTGTCCAACAGGTCAAACGATTAAGAACTGGGTTGCTAAGTTCGAAGAGACTGGTTCGACGTTAGATAAACAGCGGTGGGGTCCACCAAGGACAACTCGTATTGAAGAAAACATCAACATTGTGGCACAGTCTGTTCGTCAAAATCTTACCCAGTTATTGGAGCCCCGAAAATCCAAGGCGTAAGCATCAGAAGCCCTTACACAGCCCTAAAGTTACAGTTTGAACTGCTATGTCAGCGCATGGCATCGTAGGCCCTTATTTTTTTGAGGACGACAGAGGTCGCGCATTAACTGTTACTTCGGAGCGGTATGTAGCAATGATAGAAGAGTTTTTGACACCAGCGTTGCAGAATTTTCCAGTCTATAATACGCAGACCTGGTTTCAACAGGACGGAGCAACTGCCCACACCTCCAACACTTCTATGCCCGTCGTCTGTCAACTTTTTCCCAGCAAAGTAATTTCTCGAAGAGGAGACATTTCCTGGCCACCACGTAGTCCAGATTTGACCCCAACGGACTTCTTTTTATGGGGCTACCTCAAGAGTAAAGTGTACGACACCACTCCGCGATCAGTTGATGTCCTGAAAGAAAATATCCGAAGAGAAATGGCAAGCATTACAGTGATGACTTGCCGCGCAGTCATCGACAATTTTAGACGTCGTTTATATGAGTGCCGTGATCATAATGGATTGCATTTAGACGATGTGATTTTTAAAACATAATTCCCATTCAATAAAGATGATAACAAAATATAATAATTCTTCATAATGTAACTAGTTTGGTTTTATTCCTTTTTTTCCAGCTCAAAGGACTTATGGGCCACCCTGTAGTATACGTATTGCGCGCCTCTCTCTCTCGTACACATCATGACGTCACTGGTATATAGATTCTTGTCACTAGTCTCAGTCACACAAACTTAGATTTTAAAGAATACGTTTGAGGTTGATATCACATAAACTCCACCGTCAAAATCCATAAAAGCCTACAGTGTGCATGGGGATGAGACACCCAAGGCTGCAAAATTTACTTTTCCAGCAAAGAGAGTGAAATCGCATAAGCCTCTACGAGCCAGCTCTATCCAGCGGCTTATCGAAAAGGTAATATATAATTTTATTTTCATTACGGCGTAAGCTAAAAGTACAAAATTAACGCTAATTGATCTTAGTTGGCAATTAAGACAAATAATTAACATTTCCACTTTATCACTTAACGTGTAGGGGTTCAAGAGGGCAACTTGTGTTATAAATGTATTTGTATAAGGATTCATAAAAGATAATATTGTTTTAAGTAATGTAAACCTAACTCTTCACCACTCTAAGTCATGGGTTAATAAATTATAGTTTAAATAACTAAAAAACACACTTTAATACCAAATCTAACTAATAAGTAGAAAATAATTTTCAAGGATAGAGGGTTTGTTTTACTGCAATAGAAAGTCCAATCAAGTATGATATATACAGGGTTTGTCCGGAAAGTAATAGGAATCATTTTCTTCCGCCATGACTGTACTTCCGAGCGTACGCGCACCGACTGGATTCGGTAGAGGGCGTTTCCTAGCTAACGAATGAGCGGCTGGTCAGTTGTCTCCCAGATGGTCCCAAAAGTGCTCACTGACGACCAGAAATTGCGGCGAGTGGAAGTGTGCCAAGAAAATTTGAACATGTGTGAAAGTGACTCCCAATTTGTGAATAACGTAATCACAGGTGACGAGTCGTGGATCTCTGAGTATGATCCCGAGACAAAGAGGCTCACACCGCCTTTCTTGGAACAGCTACCTGACTAAGGCCGGCATCCCAACGCTTCCGCAGGCCGTCCTACAGTCCAGATGTGGCCCCCCGGACTTTTTTTTTGTTTCCTCGCCTGAAAAGGCCGATGAAAGGCAAGCATTTTGAGACGACAAAGGGGATCCAAGCAGCATGCACCGCGGCTCTCAAGGCTATTCCGAAGAATGCCTTCCGTGACGCCTTCACGATTATTTTTTGATGCTATTTACAAAATTGGAGTAATGAAAATATAGTTATTTATATTTGATAATACATCTGAATTTACTTCCAAATATCGAAAATTCTAAAACCTTTTCAAAATTCCTTAATCCTCAAATTATTCTCCAATTTCCAAATTTTGGAATCCAACTGTTTTCCAAATTTTCAATTTGCAAATTTCAAAGATATTGTATTGTCATCGGCCCTTGACCTCTGTGCAAATGTTCTAGTTAATCAGACTTTTTGAAATTGGTGAAAACAAAAACTAAAGCAGCATCAGAAACGTCAAGTTCTGTGGAGTGGTACTGCCTCAGTTGACGGAAAATCTAAAGCGGCAGTCATGAACAGCACCAAGGTTTGAAAGATATTTTTCCACAAGGGAATAGAGCCTCGAATCTTTAACATTATACGCCTACGTCCTAGTCATCGAATCAACAATGTATGTTTTATTAAAATGCATCAATAGATTGAATAAAGGCAACTTACTTTTCATTGGAGAATTGTGAGAAGCGCGTGCTGAGCAAATGAGCCTAGAAACACCTTCTACAAGTTGACAACGCGGCTCTGCATCCTTCTCTTTTTCCTTTTTCTTTCCCAGTCTCATTACTGTAATTCAACATTACAACAATTAGAACAATCTGCAATCACGGTTCATTCAATTTTTTTCATCTTCTTATCCAACAGTACTATCGGTTGAATTGTAGCTCAGACGCCACAAAACGGTTTATATAATATAAATCATACTTTGATACAAAAAAGTGCATTGAGAATATGTATTAAAGAAGCTTTACAAAAAGATAAGTAGCTCTTCTTTGACCTGCATTGAATGTGACTGGTAGTGAATGCAGCAGTTCACCAATCTTGTAAAGATTTAACTCGGCTTGGTATAATGAAGTGTTAGAAGACTCGATGATGAAAATGACCTCCTAATTCTGAACATATATGCTAGATTTTATATTGTCATCTTCGAAATAGCTTCCTTCTAAAGCCAGACAGCGCGGGAGACAGTTCTTCCACTTCTCATAGCAGTGCTGGAACCCCGACACTGGAATAACCTGCAGCTTGTCAGTTACAGCCATTCAAATGTTTTCGCTTGTTCGAAAATGAGTTCCCTTGAGGTGATTTTTCAACATAGGGACGAGAAAAAAGTCACATGGTCTCAACTCAGGCGAATAACGAGCCTTAGGAGTCACAGGAATGTTTTAACTGGCTAAAGACTCGTTTGTGCCCAAGTCTGAAAGCACACCGTCGCTCGAAATTGACTCACTCATTTTTAGAACACAATAAATCGGTACGGACAACTAAATGACTCGAGCAAGTTCAAACTTGTACTGAAGGCGGATCAAATGCTCCCCTGTCGCCCCTCCAAGCACGGGTCCTCCAGTGTTGCCAGATCGAACGCTACGTTAATTTACAGACCTCGTATAAAGGAGGTGCAAGTGCTTGAAAATCGTATATTAACGGGTGACTTTTTAAGAGGTATAGGATTTGATTGTCAAAAAAAAACACAAAAAATTTGAAAAAACTATTAAATCTTTATTTGAGTCGATAGAACGGTCGATATAATTTAATGTTTAAAGATTATTTCATGTAAATGTTGGCCGCGGCTCCGCTTTGGATGGCCCATGCGCAAGGTCCAATTTTGGCACACTCTCTCCAACATGTCGGCCGGTATCTCACGAATAAATGCTTCAATATTGGCTTCCAGTGCGTCAATCGTTGCTGGTTTATCGCTGTAGACATTAGCCTTAACATGGCCCCAGAAGAAATAGTCCAAAGGCGTTAAATCACACGATCTAGGCGGCCAATTGAAGGGGCCCCAAACGTGAGATAAACTGTTCACCGAACTCGCCTCTCAATAGGACCATTGTTTCGTGTGCGGTGTGGCATGTGGCACCGTCTTGTTAACCACATGTCAGCCAAGTCCAGCTCTTCCATTTTGGGCAAAAAAAGTTTGTTATCATCGCACGGTAGCGCTCGCCATTCACAGTTGCGTTCCGGCCATTGTCGTCTTTGAAGAAGTACGGCCCGATGATGCCACCGGCCCATAATCCACACCAAACAGTGATTTTTTCGGGATGCATTGGTAGCTCTTGCAATGCTTCTGGCTGGTCTTCACTCCAGATGCGGCAATTTTGCTTGTTAACGTACCCATTCAACCAGAAATGAGCTTCGTCGATAAACACAATTTTTCGATAAAAATGTGGAAACATTGTGGTAGGTCGTGTGGCTTCAATTCTTGCACCAGCTGTATCTGATAAGGTTTTACACCCAAATCCTGTGGCAAAATTTTCTAGTGGAGTAACAGAGGCCCAATTGCTGCGAACGGCGGCGAATCGACATTTCACGGTCATCACTAACACTGGCGGATACAGCCGCAATATTTTCTTCAGTCCTCACTCTACGTCTGCGTGTTGGTGGTTTAATGTCCAATAATGTAACCTGGGTTCGAAATTTAGTCACAAGCTTCCGAATAGCTCCCTCAGTAGGCCGACCAAATTGCCCATAAATTGGAAGCAGTGCTCGATGCACTCTCTTAACCGAGCATGAATTTTGATAGTAAAATTCAATAATTTGCAAGCGTTGTTCGTTCGTAGGTCGATTCATGGTTAAATTATAGACCAAACTGAACAAGTTTGACAATGACACAAGACACGATTCACGCGTCATCTGTCAAAAACAGTGTTGCCAAAAAGATACTAGCAAAAAAATCACCCATTATAAAAAACGCAATACTCACTTTTCTGTTTCTTCTCCTTACTAGCCAGATGCATAGTGACAGCTAAGCCGGCGGTATTAGTGGGTTGTGCCTGTAGCCCTCTAAACAGCGCCTTCAACGACGTTTTCCCGCCATCCTGCCTCTGCTTGCCACCGTCCTTGTCCTTTTCCTTAGCGCCGGCGGTCAGCGGAACTTGATCAGAGTAGTGCCTCAGCCCGCCACCAGGGAGCGCCGACTGCACCTGTAACCGAAACTGTAAAATTGGAACTCCTTATGTCGAATTTCGATTCTTATGTCCGACTGCGATTTTTGCAAAAAAATAGCTATAAGTGGCAGTTACTGTCTGTGTATATTGCCTATTTTGAGACTGTGACCCTATCCTATCACATCGGAATCAAGTAGCAAATAGATCGTTGATATGTATACAGGGTGTTTCAGTTTATTGTTGCATAACTTTAAGATTCGATAGAACTTTTAAAATTAATGCATAAAGTCTATATAAACATGGGTCGAAAAATGCGTGGCTTCCGAAATACGGGGTGTTTAAATTTACTTTCTAAAATAGTTTTTTTTAAGTATTTCGAACAATATTTGATCTATAACAGTGAAAATTGGTATACAAGGGTTTTTTGGTACGACAAAACGAACCATGGGCATAGTTTTACTGTAGCCGCTAGAGGGCGCTCTCTGCTGTACCTGTAGTGTATTAAAATGACCGAAAAATTTTTCTTAGTGCAATTTTTTGCTTTTTGAATAAAAAAACTGATTCTTCGCACTTTTCAACATAAAAAAGCTCTCTTGTGAATTTTCGTTATAGTTAGCCGTTTTTGAGATATTTCGATTTTTAAGGTCCGATGCATTTTTAATTATTTATGATAAAATAACGTTAAAAAGTCAGTATCTCGATAATTTTTAGAAGTAGGCTGTGCCTGCAAATATTTTTGAAATTGAAAGCAGAATAAGGTTAAACGTCAATTAGTTGACAGTTAGTTTTGTTGTCTGTTGAAACCTGAAACGTTTTTTTGCAATTGTGAATGCACGAAATTTAGTTTCTTTTACCTGTTTTTTTTTAAGTTTTATAAAAATGCCATTTTTATTCTCCAATCAAGAGTTAGTGGATATTCATTTTGTGTATGGCTTTGTAAATGGAAACGCAGCAGAAGCAGCCAGAGAATACGCACGAAGATTTCCAAACAGACGACATCCAACTCGCTCAGTATTTGTAAGAGTGCATCGCCAAATAATTGAAAATGGTTTTGGAAATCTCCAAAGGGATCAAAACATAAATGATCGTCAGCGCAGATTTACCCGTATGATTCTGCGTGAGTTTGATAGAGATCCGACCACAAGTGTTAGGAGAGTTTCTGGTGCCTTGGGAATTTCAGCAAGCCATGTTCACCGTGTTCTCAGAAATGACCATAGACGTCCTTACCATTTGCAACCTGTGCAAGGACTACAGCCAGGGGACGGAGAACGAAGAATCACATTTTGTCAGTGGATTCTTGATAGAACTGATAATAATAGGAAGTTTTTAAGTAACGTTTTATGGACCGATGAGTCATGCTTCACTAGACGTGGAGTGGTAAATTTTCATAATCAACATATTTGGTCGCATGAAAATCCGCATGCAGTTCTGGAAAGAAATTTTCAGCATGAATTTAGTGTGAACGTGTGGATTGGTATCTACCGTAATCGAATATTTGGACCCTACCTTTTGCCTGCAAGGTTAAATGCTGCGACCTTCTTGGAATTTTTAAAGGCTGAACATGCAAATATGTGGGATGATGTTATGTAAGATTTAAGAAGATTGGCCTGGTTCCAGCTTGATGGTTGTCCAACTCATTATTCGAGAATAGTTAGAAACTGGCTGGAAAAATTATCCAGAAAGATGGATCGGCCGTGGAGGACCAGTCGCCTGGCCTCCACGATCCCCTGACCTAAATCCATTAGATTTCTTTGTGTGGGGATTTCTAAAAGGAAAAGTGCACCAGACTCCCGTAACCACAAGAGATATGCTAATAGACAGAATCAGGAATGCATGTGATGAAATAAGGCCTTATTTGAATAATGCTATACCACGTTCGATCATTCGTAGATGTGAATTGTGTATTGAACAATTGAGTTTACCTTTCGAGCAACTACTTTAGATGTTGTATGTTTGTCCTAACTATCCAATAGCATTTTAGTTGTAAATAATTAATTTAATTTGTTAAAATATTGGAAAATTAAACAAATTAATATTGTTTTTTGTGTTTATTTGGAGTTAGGAATTATCGCTGTGTTTAAAAACACAATCTAAACGATCATCTTAGTTGCTTGTAATGCCCAAATCGAAAATGTAAAAAAAATATTATTTTCCCATAAATAATTAAAAATGCATCGAACCTTAAAAATCGAAATATCTCAAAAACGGCTAATTATAACGAAAACTCACAGGAGAGCTTTTTTATGTTGAAAAGTGCGAAGAATCAGTTTTTTTATTCAAAAAGCATAAAATTGCACTAAGAAAAATTTTCGGTCATTTTAATACACTACAGGTAGAGTAGAGAGCGCCCTCTAGCGGCTACAGTAAAACTATGCCCATGGTTCGTTTTGTCGTACCAAAAAACCCTTGTATACCAATTTTCACTGTTATACATCAAATATTGTTCGGAATATTTAAAAAAAACTATTTTAGAAAGTAAATTTAAACACCCTGTATTTCGGAAGCCACGCATTTTTTGACCCATGTTTATATAGACTTTATGCATTAATTTTAAAGGTTCTATCGAATCTTAAAGTTATGCAACAATAAACTGAAACACCCTGTATTAATAAGAAGGAGAGCAAGTATTGTTCCTTGTGGAACTCCATACATTACAGTCACACTCGTATTTGCAATTTTAGCGAGTGAATGCTAACACTCTTTGGATTCGTAACCACAAGTGTCCCTTATTACACACCTGCCAGTAATCTATTTGTAGTTCGAGCGGTTCCCACGGGGCCTCGCGCGCATGCACATTAGGGGAGGAAGGAGGCGTCAGCTGTGGAGCAGGGGGCGGTGCACTCGGAGGGGAAGAGCACTGCTGCATCGCAGAAATCAGAGGATCTTCGAGGTCCACCGAGACGGATTGGGGATGTTCAGCGGGTCCAACTCGTACCTCCTGAAGAAAAATGTTCATTTTAAATGTTAAAGTGCTTAAAAGAAGTGGTGGTGATTTTTGTGAAAATGCTCGCAGCAAGTATAGAAAGTTATGGATACTAACGTTATTGCTATATATACAGTAGCGGATAAAAGTTTGGAATCATTCTTAATAGTTTTTAAAAAGTGCGCTAATTTTTTATTCTTTATTATTAAGGACTATTTTTTTCTCATATAGTTTGCTTACAATCTTGAGGATACTACAGACTAGCATTAAAATTCCTTATTATTTTATGAAATGAGACGACAACAGTATGGAAACACATTTTTTATTACAAAATTAAATACAACAGTTCTACAAAAAAATTTACAAAATACCGTTTATCAAATAAATCGCTCATTTTTTTTTTTACTTTTTCTTGTTAGTTGTCTTTTAACATGCCAGATATGTTCTATAGGGTTGAGGTCCGGGGATTGCGAAGGCCCTGTAAGAACATTAACATTTTCTAGTCTTAACCAGTCCTTTACGAATTTTGAGGTATGCTTGGGGTCATTATCTTGCTGGAATGTCCATCGTAAAGGCATTTCTTCTTCAGCAAAAGGGAGCATGTGTTCATTAAGAATATATGTGTTAAGTTTTTGATCCATTTTCCCAACAATTTTAATGATTGGACCCGTTCCAGAACTATAAAAACAGCCCCAAACCATGATATAGCCTCCACCAAGATTCTCGGCACCCTCTTCTATGATTCTTTTGTCAATCTGTGTGGCTGACATTCCAGGAACTTCATAAGACAAACGTTTAATGTAGCGATCCAAAAAATAATCGGTTTTTATTCGGTCTTCCGCACCTGGGCCGCGTTGTTGTTGATACGTATTCTTGATATTTACTAATAATTTTCGAAATCATCCCTTTGTTCATTTTTAATCTTTAAGAAATGTCAACATGTCTGACACCAGTTCTAAATAATTCAATTATTTTGTCTCTTAAATCTTTCGAAAATTCTTTTACTTTTGCCATTCTCACTGATGTTACCGCACGCAATATCAGAGTATCGTAGAACGAATAAATACGGCAAAACTGAGTTTCCATAATTTTGTCGTTACAAAAAACGGTGGTATTTAAAAAAATCGCGTGTGTTTATTTTCAGAGAATTTGAATATTGACAAGATAAACCTTGTATTAGTACGGGAGACAAAGGTAGACTTTAAAACATATTCATATTATCAGTTCCTTCACAATTTTAATTTAGGTATATGAAATAGTTCATAATAATGTTAATATTTGTTTCCAAACTTTTGTCCGATACTGTACTTATTCTATACATAAATAATCACTGAAATGTTAAATGAGGCTGCCAAAAAAGAATTGTGATTGTAACCAAAGTAACAGTCCAGTTTGGCAAGTGGTAAAACTCTGTAGTAGCCATAGTTGCTACGCGAAAGAATCCAATAACACATGCAGAATAGCATCAGTAACTTGAAGACACACTGATTCTACTTAAAATAATAGTAATAATAATTTATTTGCCAAATACAACTAAGAACAATAATAAATACATTATTTTATCAAACAATCAGTACTGAATAATTATATTTTTAATAAACACCAAAGACCAATACTTCTCTTCATATTTTTACGTTCTTACGCTACACTTTATTTCTTGACAACATTCTGTAAAATTATAAAAATAGCATATTGAAGTATTAAAGATAATTTTAGATAACAGTTTATAGATGTGTTTCATATATAATCTTTAGATTCAAGGCTGCGAAATAATCCGAAATCGCATTATTACACTTTTAAAGAGCCGAATAATGGTATACTTACGTTGATGAAGGGAATAAACAGCTGGCTATTCTCGTCGTGGCACGTAAGCATGGCTTCACCAACGGGCATTTGGACCACAGGCGCGGATACAGGCGCTTGTATATACCTGTGTATCCTCTGGGCCAATTCGTCAGGTTTCAATTCTTGATCGGAGGGGAATAGCGATTGATATCCTTGGTCGAACATCGCAAGCTGTCGTGATATGTTACAACCACCTGAAAATAACCATCAAAAGATCTAGAAGACGAGGTTAGAACCCATATATGAATTATAATCCTTTAAAAATTTGGCCTTGCTTACACTCAAAATGTTTAGGTACAGTCCGTTATTTAATAGGTAGGTGAAGGTTTTGAAGTTGTTGACAGAGAGTTGGTTATCGGGTTTGTAATAATTGCAACTTTTTTCAGAAAATATTTACTTGGACCATGCAGGAGCTACATTGTATTCAGAAATACAAATGCAGCATGTTTTTACGGAACTCACCACCAATATTTTTTACAATCCTCATTCTATGAATATGTCTGGTAAACTTACAGAAGATGCAGTCGACTTGGTTCTTTTTCAGTAAGATACACTCAAATCCGAACCTTTCTTGGTATAGGATGCTTGAAGTAAATTGTTGTTAAATGAAATGACCTTGTTCTAGCTTAATTTTCAACATTTGCTTCCTAAAAGTGTTGAACTGCAAATAGCATATCCAAACTTTATTGAAAAACAGATCTTTTGTAAAAAATACGGATTTTGGTTTTAAGTATTTTAATAAAAGTTGGTGAATGTATTTATCTTACTGTAAATAACAAGTGAAAACATTTTCAGCCTTATCAGTTGGACATTCCGGTTTTTATACTGCTTTTTTTTAATTCACTAACGCTCTAAAAATGAATATTTCAGCCGCAGTAAAGAATCAACGTTGGCGGATTTTGGTTCTTGACATCCTTTACGATCGGTTACGATGCCTAGAGTACGGAGACCTGTACGATTTCGTCAACTTAGTGAGTTTGATAGGGGCCGTATAGTGGGACTTCGGGAAGCTGGACTTTCTTTTAGGGCAATTGCAGTTAGAGTGCAAAGAAGTGTAGACACTGTGGTTAGGTGTTCTCAGGCATGGCTTCGAGAAGGCCGTACGCAAAGAGCAAGGGGCACTGGACGCCGCCATAGAACAACATACCGTGAAGATCGCCGCCTAAGATTATTGGCCTTAAGGGACCGTTTCTCCACTACCAGGTCCATTGCAAATGAATGGTTTGCAGAACACGGAAGACCTATTGGCATGCGAAGTGTTTACCGACGAATGAGAAGTTTTGGCTTGTTTTCATACCGGCCACACTGGGTCCTCCCTTTAACTCGAGAACACCGACGTAATCGCCTTGAGTGGTGCAGACAACGGTCACTCTGGGATCAGGAATGGAACAGTATTGTCTTTAGTGACGAGTCTCGATTTTGTTTAGGCATGCACGATGGTCGTGCCAGGGTTAGAAGGCGACGTGGTGAAAGGAGGAATCCACAGTTTTTTGTTGAAAGACATGTTCTTCACACTGTTGGAGTTATGGTTTGGGGTGCTATAGCTTATGGTTCCAGGTCACCTTTAATCTTCATCACAGGTAACATGAACGCGCAGCGTTATATCCACGAAGTTCTAGAACCCCATCTTTTACCCTATCTTGACACCCTGGCAGATCCAACTTTCCAACAAGATAATGCCCGACCACATGTTGCAAGAGTAACAATAGACTTCTTTCAACATAATGATGTCACATTGTTACCATGGTCACCAAGATCTCCCGACTTATCCCCAATTGAGCACGTGTGGGATATGATGGGTAGGAGATTGCTTAATTTGCAACGTCCTCCTCAGACTCTAGAAGCACTTCGAGAGGAGTTGGTGGTTGCCTGGAATGAGATACCACAGGAGGACATTGACCACCTGATCAGAAGCATGCCTAGGCGCGTTGGAGAATGCGTAGCACATCAGGGTGCATCAACACATTATTAAAGGTCAAAGGGCTTTAAAGCAGTGCAATCATTTTGAAATTTTTATCATTTACTTATTATGCTTCATTAAGTACTTATACAAAATGTTATTAAAATAAAACCATTTGAACTGGGTGTTCGGATTTATATGTCACTTAGTATATATGCATCAGTATAACTGAAAAGGCTACTTCTCCTTTATCTATCGATAAAAAAAATCGCTAAGGATCTTGTTTGTAATCAAACATCAAAGTTGAAAAAAACACATTCTCCTGTGTGTTGAAAACACTATGAAAAATTAGAATAAGTGGACAGCAGATGTGTAGGGAATGAAAAGCCTGTTAGAAAGTGGCGTCATATTTTCAATTTGTTACAACGTTGCTCTTGCCAAGAAAATAACATTTAAAATAAATCGTGACAATGATAAATTTAAATTGTCGAACATTTTTGCAGATTTTTTTTGTATGTTAATCACTACAACGGCTGAGCTGTTACTATTATTTCCAGATTACTATTATGCATTTTTCAGTAGAAATTTGAAAATCGACGATTCTTGGCAATAACAAATCGCATACAGTAAAATTTTATTCAGGAATAAGCGAATCCTTGCAGCAAAAAATATATGTAGCTTCAATTTGAAGATCTTGTCATCCGTGATAACTTATACCAGTACTTAAGTTTTGCTATTTCATAAAAATTTCTCAAGCAAACCTTTTTGCATCTCTAGACGACGTCCCTTTTCTCATTTATACAATTTTATTTCCGGAATTTACATATTACACTGGTGAACAAAATTAAAATAATTTTTTGTGACATAGTCAAAACAAGGCGGTTAGTATGTAAAACGTACCCAAAAAGCAGGAAATAGCATTCGATTTTTTCTATCGCCCACGGTTTTCTTGCAATAAGGCATTTTATTTGCTGCATATACTCGTAAAATATAAGGATATGTAAGTAAGAGTACTAATAAACACTCGAATAAACATTAATCTCAGAATGTTGTCGATGTTTTACGGCGGTATGTTGCTCCTGAAGTATCTCTTAACAACATCCAGCAATAATCAGCAAGCAAATTGACACTTCATTTGCCTTGATACCGTTTTTCCATAGCAGAAATGTCTTGGTGGAACCGTTCACCATGTTCATCACTTACCGCACCTGAATTTTCCAGAAAAAAATCGAGATGAGGATCCAAAAAGTGAATTTTTAGAGACATGTTACATCCCATTTCTTTATAAGCATTAATTAGTTCACTTAGAATATCTTTATAATTGTCCGCCTTCACATTGCCTAAAAAATTTGCACTAACTGGTTTAAAAACATTCCTTCATGATTTTCCGTATTTGTGGACCCACAAATATGCCCGCTTTAATTTTTGCCTCACTAAGTCTCGGAAATGTTTGTTTTAAATGCAGAAACCCTCTTCCATTTCGATCCATAGTTTTCACAAAATTTTTCAGCAGTCCCAACTTAATATGCAAAGGTGGAAGCAACACGTTTTTGGGATCAACTATGTATATACTAATACCTGCCGTAGTGGCCATTCCTTCTGTTCATATTGACGATCTCGCGCACGACTGTCCCATTCACAAAGAAAACAACAATACTTAGTCTATCCCAGTTGCATTCCAAGACGAAGGACTATTACGTTGAAATCTGCACATATGGCCCATCCATATTCATTAACGCGTCAAACAAATTGTTGACATCGGAGCAATATATCAACTTTCTTTCTTGACGGAAACAATATGTGAGGTCTTCTTGCCATTGTCGGTAAAAAGTAATGTTAACATCACCGTGGAGAAGATTCCATCTTTTTAATCTTGACGCCAAAAGTTCTGACTGGGATTTTGACAGATTTAATTCTCGAACTAAGTCATTAAGTTTGTCCTGTGATCAAATGCGGCGCTGTTGAACATCCTGACCGGTTTAACGAAGGATTGGAAATTTTTACGCTACCTGTACCATCACTTTCAGAATCGGTGGATTCGACTGATTGTAAATTAAAATACTTAACAGTATGTTTCGATTTTGGGTCAATACCTTTAATATTTGCGAACCCATTGGTAGCGCAAAGAGCATTTTACAATTGTCGCCTCTTAACCAACCTGTTAACAACGTTACACAAGTCTTACAACATATGAGGGGCTCATAGTTTATCTTGGTCGCCAACTTTAATTCCGAAATAAAGTTCGTATGCTTTCAACACAAGGCGAGTAAAAGTACGTTTTTGGGATTTAAAAGTCAGCTCTCCGCACACATAACAAAAACTGATCGCACTATTTACACAATTTCTAGGCATTGTCCGTAAAGCTAGTCTCGATCACAATAAACTAAAAACAACACACCGTTTTAACAAAAATTAACAGTACTCAGAACATCTCAGTACTCTTCAACACAGAAAACGTAACTGCTATTAGTCTACTAATAAACGCAATATGCTCTCTAAACATAGAGCTCGCATATCCTAGACAGGAATAGACAGGTCTTAACATTATATATGTGCGTCATCGGATAATCGCCGAGAAATGCAGCAATATGAGATGTTACGTATTGTAATTCATAAAAGTAGATGTTACTGAATATCTGTGGGTAATAGAAAAATTCTGTTTTTAGATTTGATTTAAGGGTCTCAAAATACATAAGATACACAAAAAAATTGTCATGCCACAAATCCTGTGTTTATCAGTGTAATCTTTGCAAAATATTTAATCACAAGTGACAGGCACGCCTATCAGCATGCTTATTAGGTCACAGTCAAGTGGAACCTGCCAACCTAAAGTCATAGAGTTTATGAAGAACCTTCGGCCAAAGTCAAGAATGGACACTTGGTACCTCCACCATGACAACGCTTTAAAGACTGGAGAAATGTAATGAATGCAGTGGAAATTACCTTGTACTAACTGTGTCGAACATGGATTTTTAACCACCAAAAGAAGAAAAGCCTATGTTTTCCAGACTGCGTTGTTGGATGTCGGCGTTTTCTAAATACAATAATATCCTAACAATATGTCCGATGATCCAAAGTACTTACCTAAAGGAACTATATACATCCGCGTGAATGACAGCCATTCGGACGGTTTACTTGACAGTAGCTCGACGTATGGTCGTACGAACCAGCCAACTAAAGTATCACTGCCAACCAAAACAATCTTGACAAACGTACCCGGTTTGGCACAATTGTTACAACTGAAACAAGATTATTAAGGTCATATTTATTTTGCACATTACAAAAAAATCAGTTATTTAAAACTGCAAGCTCATTGAGGGAAAGGCAGCAACTTGGGCGCGAGATAATGTCACATGACAATGCGTGGCATGCGACTGTCTCTGACTTATTATTATCGAACGTTATTGGTTGACATTTCCGCGTAACACAAATATGATAGCTACTAAACATGATAGAACTCTAAGCGTGATTCTACTATACGATGTATGCATTTTTTGAAAGTGACATATACTTACTACTTGTGTATTTTGCTGAAGAGAGCCGTGAGAACAGTTTTGACCTCGACAGCGGAGATTGGTTGGAACACCCTGTATGGGGCGTTCAGCTTACTGGAAAGAGGCACGGTCATGCTATCCGGACCGGATATCAGCACGACGCATTCTGGAAGCGCGTTGTCTTCTAATGGCAACAGTCTGGAAACCATCTCTAGGAACACTTTTCGAGCCTAACAGACAAAGATCAGAATTATCGGGTGTCTCTGAAATTATTCAGCCAATAGACGCCGAAATGAGGATATTAACCCACAGGTGATAAAAAAATTTAAATGCTTCATATACAGTGACTTATTTTATCCATAGTTTCAATTTGATAATGTCAAATCTGCAAAATTATTTTTTTCAAATAAATATAAACCTACAAAAGAGAGCTTACAAATGTAAACTTCATTTGATCAACACGATATAAGTCTTCGACATCCACCATCTTCAACGTAATGTAGCTTTTTCTTATCCTTTTCTAGCATTCATTGCAATAAAATTTCTTATGTTTTTAACGCTAGACGATAAAAAATATGCGTCTAGTAGATTGGTTATGTACATTCATTACAGCTTCTGATACACAACAATGGAATATTTAGAGCTAGTTGTTTGATATACTTCAAATTAATGTGATGAAACAAACTCAAAGAAAATGCACTTTCAGGTTTTGCTCTCCCAGAAACTATATGATTTTGATGTAGATATAAGCAATTTGAAAACAATCCACTATTATATTAATATAACATATTTTGTTAGGTAAATTGAAGGCATATAGTATATCAGGAAGTATTTTAGATTGGTTTAGAAATTCTGGTCTATGGTCTAAAGGATGGTTTAGACCATCAAAAATTGAAAATACGTTGGGTGTTCCACAGGGCAGTATCCCGGGACCACTTTTTTCATTTTATACATAAATGGATAAATGATTTACCTGCCATAGTAAAAAAATGCAAAATTCAGATTTTCGCCGATTTATATGTTTAAGTACTAAAAATATTCAGACTGGTATCTCTTATATAAATGAAGACTTGAAACTTTTCTCAAAATGGTTAGCATCTAACAGACTCAAATTAAATACAAGTAAAACGAAAGCTATGTTAATCGGAAAAAACAATGTACAAATGTTCAGCTGAATATTGATTGTGAAGATATTGAATTCATAGAAAACTTTAAATATCTGGGGGTTTTTGTTGACTCTCGATTAATTTTTGATATTCATTATGAAAAAGTTATAAATAAGATTAGTAGTAAAGTGGAATATTTATCAAGAGTTTCTGGATGTAGAAAAATTATCTTTAATACCATCATTCTTCCAAATTTCTTGTACTGTTCGACTATTCTATATTTAGCAAATAATTCCATTTTTGAAAGGCTGCAAATTTTACAAAACAAGTGCAGATAATAATACTGAATAAAGATAAATATACTACAATTAGACAAATGCTTAGCAAATTAAAATGGCTCAATGTAATTTTTTTTATCAAATATCTTGTAGTGATATTCATTTACAAAGTAAAAAATAATATATTTCTATCAAGTCTAACTAATTTAACATCATCAAATGCCGACCATCATTTACATAATACCAGAAATAAAGATGACTTCCATTTAATGACCAAAAAGTATAACATATGCTACAAATCTGTATTCCATCAAGGGTTGATTGAATATAATGGATTATACACAGAGGATAAAAGACAAAAAAACGGAAGGAGGGTTACGTTTTTCGTGCGTGGACATGTGACCAAAAAAAATCTATTTCAGGATTTTGACATATGAGGAATTGCTGGGTTCATCTTAGCAGCGCGAGTGACGCTAAATATATACTAAGTGACATATAAATCCGAACACACAGTTTAAATGGTTTTATTTCAATAAAAGTAGGTGAATGTATTTATCTTATTGTAAATAACAAGTGAAAAAATTTTCAGCCTTATCAGTTGGACATTCCGGTTTTTATACTGCTTTTTTTTAATTCACTAACGCTCTAAAAATGAATATTTCAGCCGCAGTAAAGAATCAACGTTGGCGGATTTTGGTTCTTGACATCCTTTACGATCGATTACGATGCCTAGAGTACGGAGACCTGTACGATTTCGTCAACTTAGTGAGTTTGATAGGGGCCGTATAGTGGCACTTCGGGAAGCTGGACTTTCTTTTCGGGCAATTGCAGTTAGAGTGCAAAGAAGTGTAGACACTGTGGTTAGGTGTTGTTAGGCATGGCTTCGAGAAGGCCGTACGCAAAGAGCAAGGGGCACTGGACGCCGCCGTAGAACAACAGACCGTGAAGATCGCCGCCTAAGATTATTGGCTTTAAGGGACCGTTTCTCCACTACCAGGTCCATTGCAAATGAATGATTTGCAGAACACGGAAGACCTATTGGCATGCGAAGTGTTTACCGACGAATGAGAAGTTTTGGCTTGTTTTCATACCGGCCACACTGGGTCCTCCCTTTAACTCGAGAACACCGACGTAATCGCCTTGAGTGGTGCAGACAACGGTCACTCTGGGATCAGGAATGGAACAGTATTGTCTTTAGTGACGAGTCTCGATTTTGTTTAGGCATGCACGATGGTCGTGCCAGGGTGAGAATGCGACGTGGTGAAAGGAGGAATCCACAGTTTTTTGTTGAAAGACATGTTCATCACACTGTTGGAGTTATGGTTTGAGGTGCTATAGCTTATGGTTCCAGGTCACCTTTAATCTTCATCAGAGGGAGCATGAACGCGCAGCGTTATATCCACGAAGTTCTAGAACCCCATCTTTTACCCTATCTTGACACCCTGGCAGATCCAACTTTCCAACAAGATAATGCCCGACCACATGCTGCAAGAATCACAATAGACTTCTTTCAACATAATGACGTCACATTGTTACCATGGCCACCAAGATCTCCCGACTTATCCCCAATTGAGCACGTGTGGGATATGATGGGTAGGAGATTGCTCAATTTGCAACGTTCTCCTCAGACTCTAGAAGCACTTCGAGAGGAGTTGGTAGTTGCCTGGAATGAGATACCACAGGAGGACATTGACCACCTGATCAGAAGCATGCCTAGGCGCGTTGGAGAATGCGTAGCACATCAGGGTGCATCCACACATTATTAAAGGTCAAAGGGCTTTAAAGCAGTGCAATCATTTTGAAATTTTTATCATTTACTTATTATGCTTCATTAAGTACTTATACAAAATTTTACTAAAATAAAACCATTTAAACTGGGTGTTCGGATTTATATGTCACTTAGTATACAAATCAGCTCGTCAAACTATTCGAAAACACAAAAAACGGGGAAAATCGTAATTTATAACTTTGAACAGAACAGAAAGGACAATATACAGGGTGGCCCATCCATGTGTGGACGGAATATTACTCATAAACGAATACATTTTGGGAAAATATATGTATGGCAAGACGTTTTAGGGAGAGGCATAGTTAAAGTGTCTGTGAATCGAATTTTTCGTGATTTGATATACTCAAGAGATATCAATTTATTTTTCAAAAATGGAGGAATCGAAGTTTGTAGTTGTATGTTTTATCATAATAAATGAAACTTATACAACTTTGCAACATTCAACCAGTTCAGATGAGATGAACTAATATGATCATATTTTCTTAAGTTGAAAATCAATCTACATGAATTTTTTGTAGACGAAACTGAATCTAGAATACTAAATCACAATATGTGATTTTTGATATTATTAAAGATTCACATAATTTTTTCTGGATCTAAAATCAAGTATTTCTTCAAGTACAGATGCCGTAAAATAGTAAAGCAATTGTTAGGTACATTATAAATAAATTTGAGATTTTCATCTATAAACAAACCGGAGACTATGTTCTGCTGGATACTTTTCAATAGAATTAAGGTCTCTCTATTATTTGTGCTTCCGAAATTCCTAAATTTTCATGATTGAAATTATGATATGATTGTGAATCGTCAGCAAAAAAAAAACGGAACTCTACAACATTTCACAATCCTGTTTATATCAGCTATATACAAAATAAAGAGAAGTGATGGTCCACGAACTGACCCTTGAGACACTCCCGAATACGAATAACGTAACCAAAGTTTTGTGCTCCTCATCCTCATTTTCTAGCGTCTACTCACCGATCTTATAAATACGTTTCAAAGACAATAAAATACTCACTGTGACCTGTTCGATCGCAGGTTCCGATCCCACGCTCAACGAATTCTTCTTCTTCGCGGAAGATCCCCCCGATCTGAACAGCTTGGCCTTCCGTTCGGACAACTCCTGCATTATGATGCTGAACTCGCTGTCACCTGCTGGCTTCCGGCCGCTACCGCCGCTTCCCGGAGGTAGGGGTTGTTCCCTAGGGGGCGACCCCGTCGTTTGGGGGTCGCTTTGAGCCTCCGGGTCGGTGTAACACAGATCTGCGTTGCCGTCCGACCCTGTACAATTACGATGAAACGTGACTCGTTTGAAGTGTGGACAAGTGTATAGAAAAAAAAGCAACCAATAGAGAATATATGTGTGATTCAAATATCGGTTATGTGGATTTGCAGTCTATGCTGCTGCAAAAAGCCACCTTCAACCGTATTTTATACTTAAGTGCTACAAAATTACGAGTATTGATTAATAAAAAATTGGAAAATATTGGTGTGACGTCATCATTGCCAGACAATCCTTTGTTGATTTTTTTTAATAATAATATATATAATAAAGTGATATGCCACAAACGGAAAATATCGTTGTATGTGGATAGCATTCTAGCACAACATTCATATAACATAATAGTTAAAATGAATTGAATGGACAAAAAAATCTATACAATATAAATGTAATATATGTACATTAATTTTGTATCGTAGATTAACAATGAAGAAACGATATTTATATTTTTCGTCATAGATTATTGTAAATTTCAGATATTTGCAGATGATACATTAATATATGTATCAGATGAAAATATAGACACTGCTTTAAAAATACTAAATTCTAACTTGGCAAAAATCGTAAATTGGTTAAATGTGAATAAACTAAAAATGAATACTTCTAAAACAAAATGTATGCTAATAGGGAAATACCTAAATGAAAATACTATCACAGGATAAATGGAGAAATAATTGAAAATGTTGAATCAATTAAATATCTAGGTATATATATATATACTGATAGTAAACTAAAGTTTGAGGATCACTATGAATACATTATTTCAAAAATTGCCAAAAAAACATATTACTTTTATAAGGCTTTTCATAGACTTGGTACTTATTCCCAGAAAATAGTTTATAATACAATTATTCTACCGCATTTACTATGTTGTTCAACTATCTTGTTCACTGCCAATGAAGCTGTATTCTCAAAATTACAAGTCTTGCAAAATAAAGTTATGAGAATAGTATTGAGTAAAAATAAGTACATATACCGAAATAAAATCTATATACAAAAATTGCAGTGGTTGAATATAAAAAATTTCCGATCATATTTGGTTATTTTTATATTTAAAATAAAAAATCATCTTTTGCCACAACATTTAGAACACTACATAGAATTGAACAATCATTACCACAATTATTATACAAGAGGAAATATAGATTTTCATTTACAAAATTGCAATAGTAATATAACTAGCAAATAAATATTTCAGAAAGGATTACTTGAATTTAATAAACTAAATAATGATATAAAGTCTACTTGTAATTTAAAGATATTTAAAAGAAAATTAAAGGGTTATTTCATGGACAATGAAAATTCTTAGAGATGCAAATTTTATTTTTTTTTCTGAATGTCTGTATGTTATGTAATTATTTAGTTTTTTAGAAGAATGTAATAGTAGCAATCATGCTTAATAAATCTTAAACAAAAAACAAACAAATTGTGAACCTGTCAGATTGATAATAGATGTTTGATCATTTGGATCATTTTGAAAGAACACAGTTATTCATTGGGTTAGTTCTTGATTTATCAATCAACAATGACTGAAAGTGGTTCATGGTGTTATAGAATTATCTTCTTTGAATGGCAAGTTGGAAAGACATACATAATCTTTGTAATCTAAGGTGAACCAAAACTAAACATATTTGGGCATAGTAGTTCTGTGTTCTGTACTTACATTAAAATGACCTCCACAACAATACGAATTACTTTTTGAATATATATTATCCATTTTTCAAAATGCGCGTTTAAATGAACTTCATTGGCATTGCAGATTTAAATATTTAACTAAAAAAAATACAATCATTTCCATGATTGAAATATATTTTCACGGTATTATATTAACGTAAATAATCGACAGATAATACAGAAAAAACATGCAACTTCCATATTAGCAATCATTAAACATTTCTAGTGGAATTCAAAGCTGAACCTGGTAATCCGATAGTTCATAACAAGGTTATGAAAAATGCTCTTGGATGCCAGTATCGGAAACTCGTATCATACAATCGAAGTAAAAACAATTCTTTCAGTTTTAAAAACATAAAAACTATCTACAACTATCTATCGGATCGCTGTAGAACGCAAAAAATATGACATAATCCTATGAGTCAAGTAGTTTCATGAAACGTACGAACGCCACCGATGTAAGTGATTAAGAAAATTAAATATCTGACCTTTGATAACACCTTTTACTTTTTACCCTTAAGTAATCCTAGAAATATTCTGTGACAGCATGCACGATATTGTTTTGAATACAAAAAACAGTGCCCGATTTCGGCAACTATTTATTTCGGTTGGTCTTTAACGAGTCTATATTTCTATAGGAAGATAGGACACCTTATCATATGAACCTATTACACTATTTTTTATGCTCTCTATATGGATCCGGAGCAGTAACCGCCACGTTAGACATCTTGGACGCGTATATTCATTCAAAATATTCGTGTTGAACTTCGGTGGCAATTTTTATAATCCAATGCCCATGAATATTTTTGATCCCCATGTAGTAATCTATCATCAATAAATTCCAGAGAAATCTTTTTTTTTTGATAATGTCAAAGAAGAGTTTGATCTTCAAAACTCACCAGAACAAGTCTTCTCCTCAACTCTCTCAGCCTCAACATAGGGAAGTGTAGTGTTATCCAGCAGACTGCGACTACTGCTGAAGAATGGTCTTAAACTAGGCTTTGGAGTGCTGGATATCGACATCGTGTCCTGTTCCGCTCCCGAGTCTTCATCACAACTCAAGGATTCCAGTTCTTGGAACAGCGCTTGTATGTCGCTTGGGTTATCCAGGTCGCCGGCACGACCACCTGTAAAAAAATGTTGCATGTCACATTTTAATATACAGGCAAAAACGAGTTGTGCGATGGATAGCTCAAGTTGCTTCGACCCACAGTTGCAGAGATCTATTTGAAATTAGAACATTGACTCTACCTGGTTCAATAATATAGTGAAAATCACGAAAGATGACTATTACGTCATACCACAAATTGTACTGAAGTAATCAATGGACGTACGTCGATGATAAAGTCACGATGACAGGAACATAATGACAACAAATTTATATTATGATTTTGCGAAGTTAGGAGATTTCACTGATTATTTTTATTTTCATTTTAGTTCACCGTTTTGCGTGATAACTGAATAATAATTTTAGCGGGGAGTTTTTGTTTTGAAAAAAAAACAGTTAAGACAGGAACACCAAAGACCAAACAACCTAACCTGCTTTAACATAACCTAACTATTTATCTTTCAAATATGATCTATCATGCAACATGAAAACATCTTCTGTCTTTGTAAGATACTTGCAAATAAGCAATACAGTTTGTTTAGACAATAAAATTCTGTTTGTCTCTGTCTAACATATCTGAAACTTGATTGAAAATATTCACATATCGCTGTCGTTTGTCTTTACTACAAACTAAAATGCTGACGTAATCGTCATCTTTCGTGATTTCGACTATAGTCGTCATCATTTTAGTCTGAAGCAAAGACTAGCGACAGCGATTTGTAGGAATGTTTTTAATAAAGTTTCAGATATGTTAGACAGAGACAAACAGAATTTTATTGTCTAAACAAACTGTATTGGTAATTTGCATTTATCTGACAAAGATAGGCGATGTTTTCATGTTGCATGATCGATCATATTTGAAAGATGAATAGTTAGGTTATGTTAAAGCAGGTTAGGTTGTTTACGAATAATGCGTTGGCTTTAGGTGTTCCTGTCTTAAGATTATTCTACTCATAACTGTTTTTTTCAAAACAAAAACTCCCCACTAAAATTATTATTAAGGTATCACTCAAAACCATGAAATAAAATAAAAATAATCAGTGAAATAACCTAACTTCGCAAAATCATAATATAAATTTGTTGTCACTATGTCCTTGACATCGTGATTTTATTATCGACGTACGTCCATTGATTACTTCGGTACAATTTATGATGTGAGGTAATAGTCATCTTTCGTGATTTTGACTATATATATGCTCTCGGTATATGAATATGAGAGTAAATGTAAATTTACCATGTTCATTCAAAAAATACAAGGCAGCCGATCGAACAGTTTACATCCAGCGTTCTCGAAATATGTCATAAGCAACAATTCATCCAATAATTTGGGTCCTAAAGTGTTCAATAAGTTGTGTATTGTGAGTCCCTTGAAGTATCCGGTTTTTTTACACAGAAGCGGCCGCGCAGGCAGAAGCCTACATGCCAGGGCACCGCGACTGCTATGAGAAGCTTAAAAAAACTTTGTTAATCGGTATCTAGTCAAGCAGTAATAATAACAGCTTTATTTCCGGAAGCCTGCACAATGAGTAGTACTGGAATTGTCAATTTCAGGTATATCATGTATATAAAAAAACAAACATGACATATAGAATGTACACGGCCAACCAACTTGTAGATACTTTTTCTTATTTCTAATTTTTACGACATCTTGAAGCGAAAACTTCAAAATAAATGTCAACTGATAGTAAAGTAAGTAAACAGACTTTTGTTTCCAAAAGAATATTATTTTGTGTTCGCTAAAATTAAAGCCAATGAATTTTGTGCCAATTTTTTTTTGTAATGGGTGATTTTTTTGCTAGTATTTACCTTTTTTGGCACTCAGTATATCTCCAAAACGAGTGATCTGATACAAATTCCTCGCCGGACAAAATTTATGGAAAACTGAATGGTATTTTATAAAATGCACTTCTTTTCTCCGAAAAAGCCAGTGGCGTGGAAAATAATGGGTGATTTTTTTGCTAGTGTCTTTTTGGCAACACTGTTTTTGACAGATGAATCGTGTCCTGTGTCATTGTCGAACTTGTACAGTTTGGTTTATAATTTAACCATGAATCGACTTACGAACGAACAACGCTTGCAAATTATTGAATTTTACTATCAAAATTCATGCTCGGTTAAGAGAGTGCATCGAGCACTGCTTCCAATTTATGGGCAATTTGGTCGGCCTACTGAGGGAGCTATTCGGAAGCTTGTGACTAAATTTCGAACCCAGTTTACATTATTGGACATTAAACCACCATCAAGCAGACGTAGAGTGAGGACTGAAGAAAATATTGCGGCTGTATCCGCCAGTGTTAGTGATGTCGATTCGCCGCCGTTCGCAGCAATTGGGCCTCTGTTACTCCACTACGCGGAAAATTTTGTCACAGGATTTGGGTGTAAAACCTTATAAGATACAGCTGGTGCAAGAATTGAAGCCATACGACCTCCCACGACGTTTCCAATTTGGTGAATGGGCGCTGGTAAAGTTGGAGGAAGAACCACATTTTTATCGAAAAATTGTGTTCAGCGACGAAGCTCATTTCTGGTTGAATGGGTACGTTAACAAGCAAAATTGCCGCATCTGGAGTGAAGACCAGCCAGAAGCATTGCAAGAGCTACCAATGCATCCCGAAAAAATCACTGTTTGGTGTGGATTATGGGCCGGTGGCATCATCGGGCCGTACTTCTTCAAAGACGACAATGGCCGGAACGTAACTGTGAATGGCGAGCGCTACCGTGCGATGATAACAAACTTTTTTTTGCCCAAAATGGAAGAGCTAGACTTGGCTGACATGTGGTTTCAACAAGACGGTACCACATGCCACACCGCACGCGAAACAATGGCCCTATTGAGAGGCGAGTTCGGTGAACAGTTAATCTCACGTTTGGGGCCCGTCAATTGGCCGCCTAGATCGTGTGATTTAACGCCGTTGGACCATTTCTTGTGGGGCCATGTCAAGGCTAATGTCTACAGGGATAAACCAGCAACGATTGACGCACTGGAAGCCAATATTGAAGCATTTATTGATGAGATACCAGCCGATATGTTGGAGAGAGTGTGCCAAAATTGGACCTTGCGCATGGGCCATCTAAAGCGGAGCCGCGGCCAACATTTACATGAAATAATCTTTAAACATTAAATTATATCGACCGTTCTATCGACTCAAATAAGGATTTAATCGTTTTTTCAAATTTATTGTGTTTTTTTTGAAAATCAAATCCTATACCTCTTAAAAAATCACCCGTTATATGTATATTATTCTTTTATATTTCCTTGAATGATGAATAAAGACCATCTATTATTATTATTAGAAAATCCGTGCCAAAATGTGAATTTTTCTATAGGTCAGTTTATATGCAAAAGACAGGTTTTTTAAAAAAAAACATGTTAATATTTCTATAGTAGAAAGTAACTGGGGTAGTCTCGAAATATTTTGGCTATGATATTATCACGTGAACAAAACTTCAAGTTAATATTTTAAAACACATGAAGGTATATGTTTTAATTTTGACGTTATTTTTTGACCTATTGAAGAAATATTGCCACATTTTTGTCAAACCTTAAACACCCTGTATAACCTTTACATGCGGAGTTTTTGACATCTTTAAGGCCCGTATCGTCAGTCGTCCCTACAATTGTAGGGCGCCTTTATGGCCTCCTTGATTGTCATAGTTTTCTACTTCTCTGTGTCAGCGCTCTATTTTGAGGTTATGTCACAAACATCTATTTGCATCAGATTGTGCTTGCTTTTGAGTTATATCATGTTTTATCAGCCTGAAATTTCCAACAATTTAAAAAGAAAACATATCTTTACAATAGGAGAGCGCTGACGCTGACGCTGACACGGGACAAGTAATTTTACTGAAAAAATGCAACAGCTAGAATAAAATTACATAGTTCTCCAGCGTTCACAAACCTCGAGGAGTAGCTGGGTTTATCGATTCTCAAAGAAACATTTTTGCTATTATTGTATCCATTCAATATACTTTTGGAAATCTTAGAAAGAATAGGTTTTCGTGGAAAGATGTATACTTTAATGGAAAATTATTTATCAAATAGACCGCAATCAGTAAAATTATTAAACTCGTATAGTAAAGAAATGTTTGTTAAATGTGGTGTTCCACAAGGTACAATTTTGGGTCCTCTGTTATTCAATATTTATTTAAACGATATATTCAAAATTAACAGTACTGGTAAAATAGTCAGTTTTGCAGACGATACTGCTATACTCTATAAAGGTACGGATTGGAACGACTTAAAAGATATTATCCAAAATGACTTTTGCAAAATTATTCAGTGGTTTAATAACCGAAAATTAACAATTAACTTTACTAAAACTCATTTTTTACCATTTTCATCACTATCTAATCATCTACCAAAATATAACCACCTTCGGTTTAAGGTAAATGATAAAAATATAAAAATCAATAGAGTTAATGATACAAAATATTTAGGAATTTATCTAGATCCCCACTTGAGATGGGATGTACATATTTCTCACATACTAAAGAAAATTAGATTCATAGCATATAAAATAAAATTTCTAACCGGTATATTAACTGAATATTATCTACGAATAATATATCAAGCTTTAGTCGAACCACACATAACATATGGTATAGTAGGGTGGGGTGCTGCATGCACGACATACTTTAACGATTTAGATGTACTTCAAAGAAGAATTTTAAAATCAATGTTAGGCAAATCAAAATTATACCCAACTAATGACTTATATAATGATGCACAAGTATATGATACTAAACAACTTTACTTCTTACATACCATCACTCATTATCACAAAACTATTCGTGAACACGACATAATTAAACATAATCATAAAACCAGATATAAATTACGTGCAAAAAATGTTCCTAAACCAAACAAATCCCTAATGAAACGATGTCACCTGTATATAGCTCCAAAATTCTACGAACATTTACCAAATAATTTAAAACAATTACGCAATACATTAGGCTTCAAAAAAAAATTTAAAAAATTTATTAACACGATTGGGAGAAATCAAATTAATAAAATAATCTCAAATATTACACAATAAATGTTCTACCATTCTTACCAATAATTTCTTTTTTCTCTCTATTTTATTATATTTTGCAATTCAACATACATATGATCCATGCACAGGCGTTGTCCTCCTATGGATATATTATATTTATTTACTCGTTTCATGTTCCCTGTATTTTAGAGTAAATAAATATTATTATTATTATTATTATTCACCGGGCAAGAAAAGTGAAATAAAAAACACTACATTGTGATGAAAATTCGACAACATAACAAATAATTGTCATGATAACGCGATAATTGTTATAATACTATAGAAAGACAAAACGGCTAGGAAGTGTTATTAAACGTATATTATAATGGGTTCTGTATGTAAAACAGTTAATACATACAATTACAGCAACAATTATTTACACATTTTCATCGTCACGGTTACGCTTAAATTGCTTAGTCTTTAGCATGGTGCAATGTTCAATGTGGAAAAAATTGCAATTGTGATTGAAAGGAAATTGCAAACTGTAGGTTGTAGGTGGTACAATAGCAATAGACAATAATATCTTATCACTTTTCATGTAACCAATTCAATAATGAGTTTCAATGCACACATCCGTGTTTTGGACATGCGCCGTCATAGTAGATACTATTACAGTATATTCAGATAAGAGATAGACCGGACATAAACAAGACCACGTGATCATCGAACGCTGTAACATTCGGCAGGGACGTATTAAGAGTCACGCAGTATATATTTTAGATAGTAGATGCTGCTTTGCGTAACTTTGTAGTAAATTAGCACAATTCGATGTGTATACGATTGGTGATGGATATAGGATCATGTGGGGGTGGGGTAAGAAATATATAATGATGTAAATATACATAAGGGTTTCAAAATTTTCGCTTCGATTTCCAGCTTCGGATGCCTGATGTTTGGTGAAATACATTCGAATATAATCTCAAAATGGCGTTTAAATTAGCCTAAATTAAAAATAATCGTATATCTCTTAAAATTGCTTTTAGAATATTGATTAGTATATTTTTTGATTTCTAGGTAAATATGTAACCAAATTGAAACGTTCAAAACGTAAAAAAATGTGCATGGTTGAACATTGTCAGAAAGTAGATTCTTGAATAGGTTTTGCCAAAATGGGTTCAAAAATGTCAATAATTAATTAAAAAATACAGTAGCTTTATAATTACTTATAACTTACCGAATTTGATGAACGACATCTTTTATTGGAAAGATGAGCTTGATGAGCTTTCATCATCGCTACTGTCTGAAGCACCAACGTCAATAATGAATGGCTCGACTTGTTCCTCTAAAATATTGTCCAGTTCCCACATTCTCTTTTCAACTTTGTCTTTCACTTGCTTAATACAGTTTTCCCATTTTTGCGCTGTTATTAATTCTAGTGCTTCTTTGAAAAGTCCTTTGAGGTTACAAAATTTAAAAGTTGTATTGTGCTTAGCTATATAATTTTTAACCTCTGTCCATATGAGCTCAATGGGATTGAGCTCGCAATGGTATGGAGGTAAACGGAGCACAGTTTTATTTTGACTTGCTGCCATTTCGTCAATGGCGTATTTTTGATATTCCGCCTTGTGATCCTTGACAATTCTTAATAATTGTACTTTCAGCATTGCTTCTTCAAAGTTGATATTTTTCGAGCGGAGCCAATTTTGAACATCAACTTTCCTTGAAGCCGTTGTTGGGACCTTCTCCATTCTTCGAGAATGATAAGGCGCATTATCCAACACAATTACTGCGTTTTCCTCTAAGTTCGGTAAAATTTTTGAAAACCACTGTTCAAACGATTCGCCATTCATTTCCTCGTGGTAATCTCCAGTTTTCTTAGACTCAAAGCACCACAGACCGTCAACAACAAATCCATCCTCACTGCCAATATGGCAGATAATGAGCCTTTTCCCTTTACCTGGAAATCGAAGTACTAACTGGTGTAGATTTATTTCCATAAGCGAACCTTTTTCAAATGTTTTCATCACATTCAGCGAAAAAACATTGAGACATGAGTATCAGATTGCTATAATTGGGATTATTTAGTCATATTGAAAAAAAGAATATTGAACGTCGTATGATTACTCAGCGCTTCACAATTTAATTTAAAGTTATAAACCTTTAAAAAATGAATGATCAGGAACCTGAAATACGCGCAAATATTAATATTAACAAATTATAACTTTATAAAGCTTAAAGTATGAATTAAAATGATTAGAAATATTAGGAACGGTACATAATATAAAACTTAGTAACTTTTTTTAAGTTTATAATATTCGACATATTTTAAGATTATATTAAAAAATTATTGAAATATCGAAAACACATAAAAACATGGCTTAAAAAAGTTCTAACAAATGAAAATGACAATAAAACATCCACGCATTTTATCGAAAGTTATAAAAGTTTTGTTACTTGTAATATGTTTTATCTGCCCCCTGGAATTAATGTTTAGAACCTTGTTCCCAAGGTTTGAAAAACATCCGATTGTTGTCTATTACTCGTATTTACCTGCCGGATTTTTTAATCCGGTGGACAGTCCATCTAGAAAGGCCCTCCTGGATGAAGTTACAGAATCATCAACCCATACTTTACTTGTAGTGTGTCCTGCGTTTACCCACGTTTCATCAAGGTAATAAATCTTCCTGTTTTGATTTCTATATTTCCCAATTTTTGTTAAATAATCCCTCCTCCATAGCACAATTTCTTCTCCATCCAGTAGTAAACTATTACGACCCCGTTTTTTCCATTTGAAATTTAAATGCTTCAGTAACGCATGGAAAGTTGATCGTTTAAATTTGGCAACGTTGTATCTCCATTTACCTCCTGCAGTACTTTATCTATAGTAGGTATTTCATTCCTAAAGAAGAATTCATGCACTTTCCTCCTAATCGCATGCTTATCAGCTTCATCCAATGATTATCAATACTTTTGCGATGTTTACTGGTCATTGGCTCAGAAAAGGTGTGATTTTTTAGTATTGTCTTAAAACATTAAACACTGATGCGCGACACACCCCAACTTTGTGAGAAACCTTCACAACAATTTCTTTGATGGTTGATGCCTCGTTCTCCTCGCGCTCGATCTTATATATATTCAAAATGACCTCTTTCATTTCTGCACTCAGGTGTCTTTTTTTAGAGCGTTTCCTAGGTGGACTACAGGAGTTTACAACTTCATCGGCAGTATCTGTACTACTGGGCATTTTGCGCAAGCAGTTGATAACAATAACAACGACAAACTCAACAACTTAATAAGATAACAAACGAAATCGTCCAAAGAAATATCAAATTGCAATGATGCACACGACATACGTAACACGTCTGAACCTGAATGTGACTCTGCCTTGATACGACTGCTCCGCCGCTCGGCATAGGCATTTAATTGCGAATTGACCAATGAGGGCTCCTGTTTTACGTCGAGACGGCGGCGTTAGCGTGAAAATCACCCGAACCTTTTGTTTACATCCGGTCTATCTCTTATCTGAATATACTGTAGAGGTCAATCCCTGGAAACTAGGAGTGAAATCACCGATAGAAAGTGGGCATAGTTCTATTACTTTCTGACAGCTTCTAATGTCCTACATACATGCTCATGAATGCACCCAATTTCGGCAAATTGATACGTTCGTAGATTTGTCATATCATTAAATATTTCGTCACAAAATTAGCTTCGTTTTTATAGGTGAGACAGGTGGAGAATGGCAAAACTCACGCAGTCTTTCTCCTAAGACTGGTCCAGAGAGAGACCAACTTTTATATCAATCAAATGTTGACTATAAAAGTAAAACAAACCAGTTTCTATTGGTTATTTATTTGTCCTGTTTTCTCAGGGACCACAGATTTGCGCTTGTTTTGTTATACCCTTTTAAAATAGCCCAAAATACCTTTTTGCATGTACTTATGAAAAAATTTCGGAAAAGACACAACACTAGCATCAGCCATAGTTTTGCTACTACGTCAAATTAAAATGACATAATACATATTTTATTAGCTATAAAAAGCAATCACCTTCGGTGTCAGGTACTCTAAATCGCCTCAATAACGACACGAAGCGTTGCTTGAGGTTATGTCGTCTCGCCCTCGGAAGCTTTGACCTTATTGGCTCGCTGTCTGACAGCTCTGCGGCCTCTTCTTCCCCTGAACTAATTTCGTCGTCATCGTCACTGAAGTCGTGCAATCTCACCTGGAAAAAATAGTTTTACATGTAACAAATAACATTGTAGTCTAAGCCACAATTTTATTTTTCACTTTTCAAAGCATATATTTAAGCAGCAACAAAAGCAAAGCCTAAAATATCGTAGGTATGTAACCTTTCTACAATACATAATTAGGGTAGTAATTAAAAACAAGTCAAAAAGTTCATATGACCCATGGTCCAAAAGTCAATTGATTTTTGTCTAAATGGCGTTATAGTTTACAACTTTAAGTGCTTTGTATCAACCACAACCTTACTAATTTTTATAATCTAATCTAAAACGTTTTTAAATTGGGTAACTAACAAATCAATGGCATTAAGTTTTTCTAAATTAAGTCAACATTTGTAGTCAGTAAGTAAGTTTCATTAAATTAAATATTTAAAACACACATGACAACAGCGCGTCGATCTTTCATCGCTCTTATCGAACCGGTAATCAATCGCAAACGGTAACAGTGATTAGTTATTGTTCGCGTACGTCGTCGTGTTTATTTACAATGTTCTCGAATCAAGAGTTCGCCGACATGTTGTTAGTTTACCTCAATCCGATGGATTTCTGGTAATGGGGAGAACTTAAAGGGATGGTTTATGGGGCTGGTCCAATAACAACTGAAGCACAACTTCGCGAAAAAAATTTAATGCGGCTGAAATAATAAATGGACTACTTCGAGGACCTAGAGTAAGAAGAAACTGGGTTCGTCGTAATGAAGCTTGTGTGGAAAGTGGAGGACGACATTTTGAAAACCGTCTTTAAATATAAAAAAAGTGCAGTGTGGGTTTTAAAAAGAAAAACAATGTATGTATGAAAATTGTGTTCCCTATTAACAGGTGGAGACAGTTAGTGGTAAGTCCGTTTTTTTAATTGTTTGCATTTTACGAGTACATTATCAAATAATGAAATAATACCTAAGAGCCAAAATAACAAACTCCGTCTTTATTTACACTGCGTTCCGTCGTAATTTGCGTCTGGCATTGCGGCGTTGTCAGATTTTATTTTACTTTAAAGTCGCTTTTCTCTAAAAAAATGCCGGTTTGATCCCCATTTCATATGAAACTTTTTGCCCTCTATCACCCATTTAAATAATGACTATCATAACGTTTACACCCTGTATATTCAACAATACTATTCGCCGGGTGCAAAGTGCATAGTGGCGGTAACTGAAACGATCGCGCGCGCGGTTGACAAAAAGAGAAACGTCATCTAACAGATAGTGGACGGTAGACGTGGTCTCTATGGTGAAATGTGGGGTTAACTGAGACCTGGCAAAGTTGCAAGCAATTCGCTGTCATCGTTTGTCAAATCGTTCCTAACCTTAAACCGATTGAACGTCTGACATTCCGTTCATTTTTTCTGTGCCATCCGCTAGATTAAATGAGTTCTCGCTTAACGTACGAATAAATTAATGAAAACTGGAGCTGAACAATCTGTTTCAACTATTGAAAACGCAATTTTGTCTAGGTACAGGTCATTATTTGTTCGAAAAATGTCAAGCAATACCAGTGGACAAATGAAAATGTTTGAAGGGATGTTAGTGGTAGGACCTTCGGAATACAGAAGAAAAATGATAGTGTTATAGTGATAACTGATATCAAATAACTATCTCAATACAATGATGTTATCGTATTAGTAATGTTGCTGTTTTTGCCAAAAAAATCTGAATTCCTTGTAAATGTCATTTTTTATTTTATGATAAAAAAACCTTGAAGGCAAGTCCGCATGTTAGAATCATATACAGGGTGTCCGCAAAGTTGGGGTTTTCCTTTTCAGAAACAACTATCCTTGAAATAACAAAGGTGATGTGTAGTGAAACGAGGGCGACCAAGTAAAAAAAATAAAGGAAAAAGTACTCACTCTCCTGTTGACGAGAAGTACGTCTCTGCCCGAAATCATACCGCTCCAACAGAAAATGAAATCAGCTGATGCGCTACCGAGCAGACGCAGGCAAACAAGGAAGGCAAAATGTTGCGTAAAAAGTCTAGGTATTGCATCCCGTCCAATCGGTTTGGGAGAATAAATGGTCCAATGAGCATACCGTTCACCATGCCAGCCCAAACATTCACCGAACATGTTTGTTGAAAATGTGCCCGACGGACAGCGTGCGGATTTTCTACAGACCAAACATGAGTGTTGCGAAAGTTATTCACCCCATTACGCGTGAACGTAGATTCGTCTGTCACCAATATGCACTTCAAAAAGTCCGGATTATTGTCATGTTGATGCAACAACCACTCACAAAACCGCACTCTTGCTGGAAAATCGTCAAGTTGAAGGGCTTGTACACGTTGGACGTGAAACGGATACAGCCCCTCTTCACGCAGCGTTTGCCACACTTTAGTTTTTGATACTTGCACTTCTCTAGCCACGTCTCTAGTGCTTGTTGAGGGATTCTCGTCTACGCGATTACCTCTAGACGCGTGACCGTAACCGTCGGTTGAAGGTTGCATACTGACCTGACACACTGACCCCGACCCAGTTTTGTCGTCGGGTTGAGCTAGTATCCTAGTACCAGTCGGGGATGTCGCGGCTACAGGACGGTATTCAGATATTTTTGATGTTGCAGAGCCCTTTATCTCGGTTCCCTTAAGACATTGGTGTATATGGTACTAAAAAAATTGCTTATGTTTTCGTGTAAAGGAAAACCCCAACTTTGCGGATACCCTGTATAAGTAAAGCAAACCTTGTGATCATGGTCAATGGGCGTAGAACTAAGTTGAGCGATGAATAATCTAGCAACCACAGTTGCCGTGCTGGCAACTCCAGCAGGTGACTTGGGGTCCTTGGTCGAAGAGGTTATGTATCCTCCTCCACCGCCCCCTCCCCCTCCTCCAGCGCTTCCTCCGCCACTGTCTGACACCAGTTCCAGCTCCATGTCCATTGGGCGTTGCAGCACCTGTAACAAAACGGAAAACTTGGGTCAAATTGTTCACTTGTTCATTTTGTACATTACTAATAATGCAATTCTTAGCGAACTCAAGCACTTGGACGCTGCCCATCAACATTTTCCTTTTCTTAATTGACAAGTTGTCTTAGCCTTGAAGCAAATAAAACCTAAGATGACTACCGGATCGGATAATGTACCAGCTTTTATTTTGCGTGACAGTGCCTCTGTGTTGACGTATTCTTTGACCGTTTTATTCAACTTGTGTGTGTCTTACCACCTGCACAATTCCAGAATTATGGAAGTCGTCTAAAGTATATCCAATACACAAAAACGGCAGTAGGAATGATGTATCAAATTTTAGACCTATATAATATTGTGCAATTTTTCAAAAGTTCTAGAGATATCAATACAGTGGACCCCCGATAATCCGGCCCCTGTCTAATCTGGCGCCCCCTGTAATCCGACATGTCTTTGAATATGTATTACATACATACGTATTTGACAATCTTCGCTAATGTAGATCACGCAGGTTTGAACAGGTTACAACTTGTACGCGCCCCAGCTATCGTGCTCGACGCGTACGCATTGTTTTACTTAGTTTGAATTTGACTACTGGTGATAGCGGTACGGCCTAGCGTGTCATCATAAACTCAGAAGCGAAAGCACAAAACATTGACAATTAAAGAAAAATGCGATATTTTAGACCGCTTAAATCGCAATGAAACTTTCAGTAGTTTAGCAAGTGAATACGGCGCAGGCCGATCTACAATTTATGACATTAAAAGAAACCACAAGAAGATCAAGAAGTACGTGTCAACTACTGAATGCGGGCCAGGCAAGAGACAGACACTCAAGAAAGCTGAACATCCAGAAGTGGAAGAAGCTTTGTACATGTGGTTTCTTCAGGAAAGAAATAGGCATGCACCAATTTCAGGACCCATGTTGGCCATGAAAGCAAATTTTTTTTATAAGGAAATAACAAGTTTAATGACTATTACAGGAGAGAAACTTTCTAAAGATGCCACCTGCAAAGAGCCCTTTAAATTAAGATTTTTGCAAAAGGTGAACGATTTAAATCTCGACCCGTCACAGGTGTACAATGCAGACGAATCAGGGCTTTTTTGGCGTGTGATGCCTAACAAAACTTTCGTTTCTTGTAACGAAAAATCTGTACCTGGACGAAAAGTAAGTAAAGAGCGTGAAACCATACTACCATCTGCTAACGCTGCGGGCACACACGCGCTTAAGATGATGGTCATTGGGAAATCTAATAAACCACGGGCATTCAAAAACATTGATTTACCTGTACACTATTACGGACAAAAAAGTGCATGGATGACAAAAGACCTTTTCAAAAAGTGGTTTGATGAATGCTTCGTACCTGAAGTTACAAAGTGGTTAAAAGAATAACAATTTTCCTCAAAAAGCGTTGTTGCTTCTTGATAACGCTCCCGGTCATCCGTCTGAAGAACTAACAACTGAGGATAAATGCATCACTGCGATGCTTCTTCCGCCAAATTGCACTGCACTGATTCAACCAATTTACCAGAATATCATTCAGTTTGTCAAGCAAGACTATAAGAAAAACCTACTTCTGAGAGCCGTATCAAAAGACCAACCAATAGAAAAATCTTTAAAAGAATTTAATATTATTTGGTTTTCGCTCTTTGTCAGTCGTAGAATGCGTTACCGTCATCAACTATTAAAGCGTCTTGGAAAAAGTTATGGCCAGATATATTCACCACTCCTAGCAACGTTCCACAAATCAGTGTTAGGTACTTCGGAACTTATAGAACAAGTCGCTACTGAAACACAGATAGGTCCGGAAGATTTTGAAATCTGGTGCCGTGGAATGGATGAAGAGGAAAATGTTTCTTAAAAATATTTGGTACTGAAAGTGGATGGCGTTTACTCGACCATAGGATACCTCATGATTCCTTACTTGAAAAACATCTAATCACCAGGCTTGAAGCAAAGCGCACTTGCCAGTCAGTGATTTTTCTGTTAAATTGATCAATAATGCTAGTAATGATTTACCTTTCTTTTGTCAGTTATCATTTAACGTACCTAGGCTGACATCCCGACAAACCGTTACGTTTTATCTACCTGCGGTACAAACAAATTATTTACATTATTCCCCTTTGCATGTGATGTGTAGGAATTACAATTCTGCAAGTAACCGGATTGATATATTTAACTGAAGAATTGCAGACATAAAAAAATACTATTAAGTAACCAGCATGTATCTTTTACACTTTGTAGTCTATTACTTACTATTGTCTTTCATATCCAAGTTATGTTCTGTGTTTCCTCACCCTGTGATTGGTATTCACTGTAGGGTATTGTAATGAATAAAATAAAATAAAAATAAATAAAAAAACGGTCACAAAATTTCGAAAAACGGAGTCTGAGACCGTCATTTTTCATTTCTCTCTCTTAAATTCGATGCCATGGATCGCTTTTCAAAGCCCTTTTTATCAAAATACGAGAAGTGCTCTCAAGAGAGAGTAAGGGTTTCCCCCCGACAGATACACAGGTGACGATGTAAGTATTATTTATTTTATTGATATATTTCTCAACAGATACAAGATCTAATTACACAGAAACACTATGCTAGTGATGGAAAACAAATAGACACACATACAAAAATAACATCAATCATAGATGATACAAAACAACTGTATGTGTGTATTTTAGAAATTAAATACAACGTCCCATCAGTGCAGTAAAAGCACACGGAAATTAATATATTCCTGAACGTCAATTTACTCCTAAAGTACATAAAGGTGTATGCTAAAAGGTACTGAATAGCTAACAAAGATTTACGCCACTGAACAGTTTTTAAATATTACAATATTCTTCTTTTATATATTTGTAAATGTTCACTCATAACCAAAGTCAAACCTCGTTAAAGCATTTCGATATTCTGTACGTCGGGGATGCTAGCATAATATTTGTTAAAGCTTTTTTTTATAGCGCAGCAGCCGCGCAGGCAGAAGCCTAAATGCCGGAACACCGCGGCTGCTATGATGATCCCAAAGAAATTTTGTTAATACGATTTTTGAATCACTTGACAGCTGTCAAGTCGGTCTCCATCTTCAAAAGTCATGCCAACTTAAAGTTCTATACCTCGAAAAAAAAAACACCCTATATTATAAATCTATGTAATACGTGCAAATCCATACGCTAGATAAATAAAATAAATGTATACTTTATCTGAAGTCACTTGAAATAGCATAAAAACCTTTGGTCGGCGCGTCCTTTATAATTTCATGACGTATCATAGGCGTGCGGTCATTTATTTAGAACGATAATAATAATGTTTTTATATCACAATAAATGGATTTTACTATCTTCTTATTTTTTTGATTTGGGATAAAAAAGACTTATATTGGGAGTTTAATTTATGTTGACTGAAATTTAAGAAATGGAAAAATTACAGAATTCCAACGTTTGACATAGGCAAATATTTACATAGCAGGTAGGTATATAAAAATGTATATAAAGACTTACATTATAGGTATTTATATATCATCCTCGCCTTCGGAGCTGTCGCTAGAGTCATCTTGTAGAGGAATTACAACGGGATTTACAGGAGGCAAAACACAATATTCATTTTCTTTTTCAATAATATGCCTAGAACACTGCTTCCATAGGTCTGTGGCAGCAATATGAGATACTGCATCTCTTATTGTGGCCAATAGCGATCCACTTAATTGAGGGGTCTGATTATGTTTTCTTACTTTTTTTTTAAAGCAGCCCAGACCAACTCAATCGGATTAAAAATGCAGTAATAGGGAGGTAGACGTAATACTTCATGGCCATTTTGCTGAAGCAGATTGTCAACAACATACTCTTTTTCAAATTTTTGTCTTTTAATAAGATCCAATAATATGGCTTTGGTTGATTTTTGTGGCATTTCCATTCCCTTATCCTTCATAAAATCAATAATGTCTTGTTTTTTTGTGCCTGTATTCGGAATTTTGTTTTTCTGTCGGGAATGGTATGGCGCATTGTCCATAATAATCACTGAATTTGGGGAAATGTTTGGTATTAACTGCTGCTCTATCCACTTTTCAAATAAGTCGGAGGTCATGTCCTCATGATAGTCGGCACATGATTCTTTGATATTTTTGGCAGATAACAGCAAGGCATTAGGTATAAATCCATTTTCACTGCCAGCATGGAGAATAATGATTCGTTTTCCACGGTTGCATGGTGCATTTAACATGCACTTGTTGCTGTCGTCAACCCAGCCGTACTGCACAACATCATGGGTATCATACCACGTTTCATCCAGGTAAATCAGATTTCTTTTCTGCTCTCTATAGATTTTAACTTTGTGCAAAAATGCTTGGCGCAATTCAACGATTCGAGACGACTCCATAATCACCATTCTTTTATCTAATTTTTTGTATTGAAAACCACACAGTTTTACAATACAGTGCAGTGAGTCTAAGCATTTATAATTATAAAAATCTTCAGGATAATCTTTTAATTTATCCCGTATCATTTCCAACGTGGGCACCAAATTTTCTTTATAAAATCCGTATATTATACGACGAATATCTTCCTGAAAACCCACAACTATTCTTTTTAATTTTTGCCCTATGCGCTTTCTGTGGAAGGAATGGTTGACTACATCTCCCCTTTTTATAACCCGATAAATGGTAGACCGACTGATTTTTGTCAGAATACAAATTCTGTTTAAAATTTGATTTTGCGAGGAATCTGGATTTTCGTTTTTCAGACAATCATACATATTTAGGATTACTCTTTGGGTCTGTTCCTCTAAATCTTTATGAAAGAATTATGCCTGCACAGGTTCATCAACCATCTCCTCGTGGCTTGGAGCATTTTCCCAAGGTCTCCAAAGAGCCATATTTAGGACACACAAGAACAATCAACACAACAATTAAATCAACAAGTAAACTGAGTCAAAAACACACAAACTAATAAAATCTATGAAAAAACACGGACAGACTAAAGAAAACACGTTTATTCACCGCTACACGGCACTGGCTAAAC